CATCGTTAGAAGACCAAAACTGTTTAGGAGATGCCATACCTCTGCGGTGTACTAAGCACAGCACTTCCAAGTATTTAGCTGTGAATGCTGAGGACGTTATGAGGGCTATAGATTATCCTCAAATTTTGTGCGACGAGATATGTGGAGAAACATTTGTTTCTTGCGAGCAACATTCTTGTAAGTTGCCATGTTTTCCAAGACATGACGACCGTCATCATCTTTGTGATGAAATAATTAACGACGTGTTTACCAACTGTGGCCATCCTGTTATCCGAAATTGCACACACGACATCATTCATTTATTATGTGATGAAAAAGTTTTCGTAGAGCTTAAATGTGGACATCTGTACGAGAAAAAATGTTATCAGGAAAACTCCTCAATTCGGTGTTTAGAACGATGCAAGGAACTCAACGAGTGTGGAATGCACCAATGCAAGAATTATTGTGGCATTCCTCATGTGCATAAAATTTGTCAATCTATGGTCGATTATCATTTTCCTAACTGCAGACATCCTTCACCGAAGAAAAAACCGTGTTCCACACCCATCACATGGAAGTGTAAGTATGAATTGCCCATAACTGGCGCGTGTGGCCACAAATTTACGAAATTGTGCTATGAAGAAGATGAGCGCGTCGAATGCCCACTTCCTTGCAGACAAAAAAACTCGTGTGGAGTTCATCAATGTAAAAAAACATGTGGCGTGCCTCATGGCCACGACGTTTGCACAGATTTGATTGACTACGTCTTTCCTGACTGTGGTCATCCATCTCCAAAAAAGAAAAAATGTTCCGAACCAATAACTTGGAAATGTCGCTACAAGGTACCGTTTAGATGCAAATATAACCACGAAATCCAGAAGGAATGCTATCAAAATGACCAAGAAGTAATCTGTCCAGTTAAACCATGTGGCAGGTTACGTAAATGTCGTCATCCTTGTAAAAATGCTTGCGGGGAGGATTGCGAAAAAGGAGAATGTAAGCATTGCCAACGAGCATATCGAAAAATGATGGAAGAATTCCGTGCTGCAGCAAGAAAGCGTGTTGATGCGCTTGAAGAGAAGATAAAAAATGCGGAAATCCCTAAATTTTCAAGAGGTCAGTTACATGCCAGTGGTTATACAGCTGCAGAGTATCAAAAAGTGAAAGATCAAGTCATGAAATTTATTCAACCTTGTCACAAATGGTTTCCAAGAATCACGAAAATCGAGAAAGTCACAAATCTTGACCTAGAGAAAAAGTTCGAAATAGCTAAATCCCAGACATTTGGAGAATATATTGACACGAAATTTCATGGTACGTCATATAAGGCTTTGCGAAATATAATTCGGGAAGGATTTAAAATGCCCCCAGCCAGACCAGAGCCATTGAGTAAACGTGGAATGTTTGGTCAAGGAATCTATTTTGCCACAGATTCTTCAAAAAGTGCACAAGAAATTTACACTAAAGGTTCTCAGGCATTGCTCCTGTGTCGAGTAATTCTTGGAAAGTCATTAATAGTGAAGGAAACGGATTATACTTTAGACAAAAAGAAACTGAGATCCCAAAAATGTGACTCTGTGTACGCACCACGTGGAACAGCTGTGGTGAATGATGAATTTGTGATTTTTGATCCAAATCAAGCCCTTCCACAATATATCATTTACTTTTCTGACAGCAAAGATGTCTTACCTCCATCTCCTTCAATTCATACCACAGAATCGTTTAGCATAAAAAATATGAAGCCAAGTAGAGAGGTGAATTTTCAAGATCCATTTGAGATGTATTACCATTTTGCTGAATCTCACTTTAGACGAATGTCTGCCAACAGCAGTTTACAGAATGTAAATATCACTGCCATTGATATTGTCGTCAATAAGGATCTTGAAAACAAGTTTGAAGCAACAAAGAAGAAATTTCGTGATGAAGGTATTCCAGATAAAGAAATTCTCGCATATCATGGAACAGATAAGAATAACATCGACAGTATTCTCCAGAATAATCTTCAGTTGAGTTTTGCACAAAGACAGTTATATGGTCAAGTAAATTATTTCTCTGAGTTTCCTGAAGTCAGTATTGGTTATGGCGATGGTTTATTGTTGTGTCGAATACTTCCAGGAAAAGAATTCGTTGATTCTAGCTCTGCTAATGTACCGTCTGGTTTTAATTCAAAGAAAGTTTTACTTGGCAAATCGAACCCAGCGACACGTGCGTTTGGTAAAATAATCATCATTGAAAATTCAGATCAAATTCTACCGTTCTTTGTTGTTCATCGTTGACAGTCAACTTTTTGCATGTTTAAGCAGCTATTTTGATATTTGACCACTGTCGCAAAGTAATGGAGCACATTTAAAAAAACTTAGGGAAACTTTCTGAACTTTGCGACTTTGGAAAGAGAAAAGCAAGATGCTTGGGATTTCCACAGTATTTGTGGAATATTGCAGTGATAACGGAAGGAAGCAGGCGTGGCTGCTCATATGAGGGTTTTTTTCACGCACCCCGTCAAATATGGAGAACATCACGAAATTGTGGAACATATCGTTGGCATTCATCATATAACTGATCACTTACATAAAAATATTTGTACACGAATAGAAAAGAAACGGTAGCGCTATTTCAAGGAATTTTCACTATGATTCATGCATCTCAGGCGCGTGATTACCATCATGACACAGCCAGTCATCCATTTTCTGACCAACAGAAACGCCGAAGTAACTAACTACAGCCGTTAATCTCATTCAACATACAGCACCAGGCTGCACAGTCAAGGTGGATCTACCTTTTATTTCTTATACTGATTGAGACACGAAGCTTGACTTCAACTGAACAGACCAGCAAGTGAATAGGAAGACTTTTCGTACATTTATTTCTGTTGATGGATGTTCAGGATAGTTTAAGTCTCTATAATGACCGTATTTTTGTATTTATATATAATTTAGATAGATATCAGTGCTAGTTAATTTTCAAATCATTGTCTCTCTGTGATGACTTCATGACAATCACTCAATAGATGACTCAAACTCTAATACTTTGGTAAAATTTTGCTAGTTATTAAGTAGTTACTGCTGCTTGACGCCGAGCTAAGAAGTACTAGCATTTTTATGATTCGAATCTATTTCAATTAGTGGCAGAAACGTCTGAAGCGCCTGCTAGTTTACATGCCAAACATGGCTATAGGTAAACCTGATGGAGATTGCTGCATGTTGAAACCGGCTATCTGCAAATAGCAAGATATAGGAGAACTGGTAGGATATAGTTTTCATTTTATTTTCTTGGATCTCAGGAATATTGTAGGACAGGGGGGGAAGTTAACAGGGATAGCATTTGACTGAACAATGAGCACCAATCACAAATAGCTTTCATGTAAATAATATGAAATAATCAGAAATATATAGTATTGCTTGAACTATGTTTATTTATCTACTTCATTTTGTGGCCATATGCCATTTATTTCACAGGCTGCCCGCATGTACACATTGTGTTCCTATTTTATTTGTGCATGACAATTAGCCCAGCATGATTCACACGTCACTTGCTTTGTTTATGACTTGTTAAAATCAAAACTAAATTCAGTCGATGATTTGTGTTCCATTGACGTGCAGAAATTTGTATTATTGTTCGTGCAGTTGCTAAGTAAATAGGTATTAATGTTCTCTTTACGTTTGGATATGTAATTTCATTTTTTATGTTCTGTGGTCATTTATTTATGCAATATTATTGTCTTCTTTATGCTCTGTCGAGTTCGTTTATGAAATTACAATAAACTAAAACATATTGAAAATTTTAATGAAAGAATACTTCATTTAATGGGACAATTCGGTAGAACTTGTCATAAATATTTCAACCAATGAACTTTGCTTTGATATGCTGCGCTATTAATGTATACATTAGTCTAATTTATTAATAAAGTTAAGCTAACGTCAAGTGTCGTGTATTGAACATGATTAAATGAACATACTAGCAAGAGACTTTAGTTATACCTGGGCACCAGTACCGTACTTATTTGTTACAACCACCGATATGTATATTAGACTGGATAACGAATCTCTTGCAAAAATTGAAGCCAGAAGATCGATCATTTGCTACTGGCTTCATGGGTGGTATCGTTCCTACTTTACTATACTTTGTATTACAAAATCACAGTTTTCACGTTTTTATTCCCTTTACCAACTTCTGATTAAGGTAAATTTTTTATGACGTTCAGAGGAAACCGGTAGAGAGTTTTAACCCCGAAGTTCTGTTTTTTGGCTTTGTAACGACAAAAAAATAAGATTTTAAGTTGTATTGAAATTTGAAAAATGAAGGTGACGAGGACAATTTCAGCCGTGCGAGGCATTTTTAGAAGATGAATACTTAAATTACAAATTTACAACAAAGTAAGAATAAAGGTATTCATATCTTCAACATATTCATCGATATTGAAGTTGTTCACATAGGAACTGGTTGAAAACTTTGCTTTGCTTAATGACAACAGAGGTACTTTAATTCGCATATTTTGATGATGTACATCTCGTAGAGTTTGATGATAACGTTTTCAACTTACTATTGCTCATCAAAATGTCTTTCTGATTATTTTTATATGTCGATTTGTTTTGTTTCTTCACTGATATAATAAAGACGTAATTTGTAATTATTATGATATTAGCGATGTGAATAACAAAGTGTTATTAAATAAGTAAATTTGTAGCAATCTTCTATAAACGTCATTGCAGATAAATTTAGGTAGCAGTAGTAGGATTCTTGTAAGAAGCAGCAGCATCATATAATCTCCAGTTTGTTTCAAAACAATCCAGGTCGACCTTGTACCATCTCAATTTTCTGCCATTATAAAGCCAAGAAGATATCTTTTTAGGATTAAATATCCTTGCCGATTGTTCTGTCCCTTTCACAAAAATTTTGCTCGAATCAAAAGTTTGTAGAACGAATAAAAAAGCAAAAACTGTGATTTTGTAATACAAAAGTATAGTAAAGAGGGATCGATGAGCCAACTTCCGGCTTCAATTATCTTACTATATTTTATACATGGTGCGTTATCCAGTGTAATGTACATATCAGTGGTTATAACCCAACTTGATTTCCCTTTTAAACAGATGGCGCATGTGAAAAAAAATCGAAAAACTGACGCAAAGCAAAATCCTGAATGGATTGCTGGAACATTATGTGGAATCTGCAAAGAGAAATCGATCTTTATAAGGCCGAGCAAACCGTTACCCGAGACTTACAATAAGAGCAAGGATGTATATTTGCATTCCAGTAAGACGTCAAAATATGCCTTACCCTTCAAACGTGGAGATAAAGGTGAATTTGTCCTTGGAATCGTCAACAAAGAAAAACCAGAGGCCCAGAAATTTAGGGCTACGGTTTATGGGCCACGAACCTACGAAGAACTCCTGGATTATTTTGACCAATATACGGAAGTTTTGAAGTCAACGGATTGTAAGAATGCGCTACTTGAAACACTGTCGAACACAGCGATGTGGAAGTTTTTGGGATCGCCTTCTTTTACATCTGGTATGTTTATATTTTACTGATTGTCTTATTATAGGTTGGAAATTTATATATCTTTCGGCAGTCACCTTTTACCCGAAAGACTTCATATATTTTCATGGGGATTGTTTGAATTACTCGCATACTTGCATTAAAGAGGGAAACCCCGCTATGACTGCAGCATTGATAATGAGATGATGTTTAATAATTTGCTAATCTACTTGTCTTCACTGTAGTTTCCAGGGTAAATGATATCAAGCCTTCCCATAAATTTATTTGATTTTTGCGATCTATCTAATTGACTGTGAACAAAAAGATAGCCAACGTGCATTGCGATATTTTTTCTGCTAATGTAATTTCTCGAGTAAAAAAATTCATATTTTCATTTCAGACGATCACATCATGCAGTTGCACTACACCCAGGAATTTCTTCATTTGTTGCAATTGATTTTACGTGTTGGTAAACAATTCAAAAACCATTTGGAACTAATGATGAAAACTGTAGTTCAAGGAGTATTTTTCAGCTCCTCCAGAGATGGCCCGTCCTTAGTATCCATTATAAAGCAAAGTAACTATACAAGTTTTGCTACATCCGATTTACTCTACGTTCGCGACACACACTACTCAATTTCAGATGAGCTGATCAAAAACTTTTGTATTGATGTGGTTCGTCAAGTGCCAGCGGTCTCTCGTTGTCTTTTGCCCGTAGTTCGTGTCATCAGCGAAAAAAAGTCTGATGCATCCAGTTTCTTGTTTGAGTTCCTATCTTTGGCTTTGTCAGGAGATAGTTCAATGGTCAGCAATGAAGGTAACATCGGCATTTATGCCCGTAAGCTTTTCAGTATATCTAAAGAACAATGTCGACAAAGTATGAACACAGTTGTCCCTATAGAAATTTGTTTTGATCAACGAGCAGCAATTTTAATATCGCCTAAAAAAATAAAAGAACTGCTGGACATTTTCAATTTCTATGCGAGAAAATTGCTTGTACTATCTTTGTCACAAGATTTAAGTGACTTCACATATTGATAGAAGACGTATACTACCAACTTGCTTGACGCCTGCATGTGTCAACTGGGACAAAATTCAAGATGCTGATATCTTTATCGATAGTGAATCGGTCAATTTTTCATGATTCGTGGCATATAAATGCCATATGGTTTGAATTTAAATTACTAGTAATTTACCCAAACATGATGCCATCTTCACTCTTCAGTATTAAGCCCTTAATAACCTTATGCAAACCGAGGAGACCTTTGGGAAGAGCAGATCAGTGCAAGCCCGAGACCATTTGTTTTGGGTCAATAATAAATAAAATATTTGTATTAAAATTTAATCTATTACGGTCAGCAGCGAACTTTTGGGGACTTGAAATGACTTTATCTTTGATGATAACTTAGCAATAAAAGAACACGACCTGTCCTGTGTGTCTTTTTAAAACACCACTCTGGGTTAGTTTTAACTTACTAACATGAAGTGTCTTTGAAGTTTACGTAGGATACCTAGTTAAATGCTGTAGCGTAAAGAAACAAATTTTTATAGTAAATTTATCAAAACTCAGCAAGGAACAAACTGACTACGTTGGTTGTCCGTCTGTTATTGTATTTTAACAACTGGGCTGCAGATATAAATTGTAGAAGCAAACAGGTGTGTCCTGATTTGTATGGTGAATGGTGCGTTATTAAAATTTATTTATCTGCTCTCTTTACCGCAAACCTTGTTAAAAAGCTTTGCGAATCTTTTTTTTCAGATGTTTGGCAAGATCTACCATTCATTCCGACTGATAATGAATTGGCCGGCAGCTTGGTTCAAGAGGACAAGCATCTGTCTAAGGTGAGGAACACTTACAGCAGTTCAGAGACGTATATGGATACCTACTTTAGACTTCTTCGTGCTGAAACATTTTCTGCCATACAAATTGGTATCAAGCAGTTTAAAGAATCAAAACTAGACAAGCGAGACATGAACGTGTATCACCACGTTCGATTGGCAGGTTTTCAGATACAAAATGGCCGCTTCTCTCTAGTTGTCCAATTTACTTCCGATCGACCGGTGAAGAACTGGAAGTCATGCTCTCATTTGATGTTTGGAAATTTGATTTGCATATCGCTCAACAAAAAATTCGATGACGTCATTTGGGCAGTCGTGGCCAATAGGGATGAAGATATGTTAAACAAGCATCAAATCATCACTTTGGATTTAATAGAAGATAACAATAAGAAAATGAGCGATGTTTTTTCTTCATTGCAAGCTCATGCAGGTCAGTCAAAGCATAATGAGTGATTTGAGACAGTTACAGTTTTGTGTTTTTGATGTAAGGTATATAAAAAACCCACTTGTTTTAAGAGAAGTCAGTGGAAGTCTGCAGTACTTCAGCGTACATCGTATTTCCCATATTTAGTCGCATGTGGGTGTCTTTTCTGGTGTGCCTTACTATGTGTTATTCCACTAAAGCCTTCGAAATAAATGACAACATTGTGAAAATTTTCAATTGATTAACTTTTTGTTTGAGCAAATAAGACTAATGCAGTAACGTCATGCCTTCGTCGCAACATTCGAATATCCTTCACTAGGCAGTTGTATATACGTACATTTTATTGTATATGTATACTTAAATAACACTTTTTAAATAACCTTTCTTTCTTAGTTAAACTCATTGCTATTGATTGCAAATAGTTATTATTTGTCAAGGGTAACGGGTGGCTTGGGGCTAGGTTGAGTAGGTAGATGCTTTTATAATCGAGCGTTCGTTTTAAAATCTTTGTGTTTGAAACAGGCTTAGCTGTCATGGTCGAATCTCCTACCTATTATCACTCGTTAAGTCCCATTCTAAGAAGCCTGAAAGACTTTGATATGGAAAATTTCCCTTTGCGAAAAGAAATTGTTAATGCAACATCGTCATCAGAATTACCCGAGTATCTACAGCAAGCTGAATCGTTGGATGTAAGTCCAATTTACAAGCAAAAACATTCACAATCATTATATTTCTATACACCAAACGATATCACAAATGGCAGGATGGATTTTAAACGGTTTTTGAACGTCTTTGATAAATATTCCAGTACAACCTTGGAAGGCAGTCAATGCAGTGCATTGCGTTTAGCCCTGACGAAGACATTGGCTATTATACAAGGTAAATTTTACGTGCTTTCTCTCTCTCTATTTATAAAATCAATTAATTTTTATTATTTTCAGGTCCACCAGGTTGTGGCAAAACATTTATTGGTGTGAAAATAGTTCAGTTATTGCTGTCACTGTCTCCAAAATTGGAGAAACCCATTTTACTGTTGACGTACAAGAACCACGCTCTTGACGAGTTTCTCAAGCACATGTTAGAGTTTTGTGACATAGATGATATGGTCAGGATGGGAGGCCGATCAAAAGCTGAAGAATTGGAGAGGTGTAGTTTATCGTCAATTACAAAGTCATTAGCGAGAGATCGAAGTTACAACAAAGTTGTTTATGGAGAGTTGCAAAATATAAAAACAGAAATGGGCATTCTAGAAAACAAAATCAAAGATCTTTCTTCATTAATGGAATCGAGCAGCAGTATAAAAGAAAGTGATTTAATAGCAGAGCTAAGTGAGGATCAGCTCCGCTCCCTTTTTACTTGTGCACCTTGGGGAAAGAAAGCTCCATTTGTTTACCGTTTTAGAAACGAAAAATTCGTTGACAGGGCTTGGATGCAAAACCTGGTGAATTGTGTCGGCTCTGTGAGAGATGTTCTTATAAATGGTGGTGACAAAAATGATGAAAGCATCGTTCATTGTCGTCATATTTTTAAAAAGGCATTTAATTTATGGATGCCGAATCGCGAAATGATGCGACAAATGAAAGAATATCACGCGAATTTTGTAAGTCAGACTCAAACAACAGCAGCAAAAGGAGCTGACTCCACTAACTTTGATAAAGATGAGGAAAGTGATGATGAAGACGAAGAACGTGTAAATGAGTTAAAAGATATAAGAATGGGCTCAAGTAACAAATCCAAAGAAGGTACGATCTTGTTTGAGTCCGTGACAAAGAATCGAGACAAGAATGTCTGTATCGAGATTTCTGATTATCCTAGTGACATTCCTTTGGATTTGCAATTACGAAGCACCGAGAATCTTTGGCAGCTGAACGAAGTGCAGCGATTGCATTTTCTGTTTTGTATAATGAAGGAGAAAATGAATAACATAACGGAAGAATTTAACGAACTTATAGAACAATTGGAAACTTTGAAGAAACAAAAGGATGAGCTCGAGATGACTAAGATAGTTGAAACGCTATCACGAAAGAAGATTATTGGTGTAACTATTACAGGGGCGTCTATTAAACACGATCTTCTTCATCAAATTGGTCCAAGTGTCGTCATCGTAGAGGAAGCCGCTGAAATACTAGAGCCAAGCTTGCTGGCTGCGCTCACGCCATCCATTCAACATCTCATCCTGATTGGAGATCATAAACAACTCAAGCCGCAACTGGATGCCTACAAATTGCGCACAGACTTCAACTTTGATACCTCCATGATGGAAAGATTGATCGAAGCTCGTTTTCCATTCGAGTCTTTAACAAAACAGAACAGAATGCGGCCAGAATTTTCGTTTTTGCTACGCGATATTTATCCTTACCTTGAAAACAATCTTGACATAGTATCGCATAATAAACCTTTAGGTTGTATTGCAAAGTCGATGTTTTTCTGGTCTCATGAACATCCCGAGCAAAAAGAACGCAGTATAACCAACGAGAAAGAAGCCAAGCGAGTCATAGCCCTCGTGTTGTACCTGTTGTTTAACGACTGTCGCCAGTCTGACATTACTGTTCTTTCATCCTATCGTGGACAAACCAGCCTTTTAAGGAAGCTTCTAAAGGAAGCTACAGGCAATTACCCAGAGCTGTTTGGGAAAAATAATAGCAATTCGGAATATGCTGATTATACAAGTACGAAAGAAGAAAAAATTCAAGTGCAGACTATTGACATGTATCAAGGTGATGAAAATAAGTACGTTATTGTGTCACTCGTGCGATCAAACCCACTTAATAGCATTGGTTTTCTAACAGAAATGAATCGTCGCTGTGTGGCACAGTCTAGGGCAAAATGTGGCATGTATTTTGTTGGCAATATTGAACTGTTTAGAAAAAACTCTAGCTGGAGAAAAATGATCAATTTCATGATTGAAGGTGGGTGTGCTGGCTATACCATACCACTTCGATGCACCAAACACCCAGAATCACAATACGAAGCGCTCGAAGCGGATGATGTGTTAAGCGTCATTTCAGATCCACTACAGCTATGCTCTAAAAAATGTGGGAGTGTGTATCCATGCTTATTGCACAGTTGCAAGAGGTATTGTCAACCAAAGCATGCACACGGTGATTGCGTGGAAATTGTCGATGACGTGTTTCCGGATTGTAAGCATCCCGTCAAAAGGAGATGTTCCATACCGATTTATGAAATGAGTTGTAGGAAGGTTATTCGGGTTAATTTGCAATGTGGTCATCCGAAAGACATGGAATGTTACAAGCAACACTATCCTGATCCATGCGAAGAGATTGTTCAGGACGTTTTCCCGAATTGCAGTCACCCGACCCAACGAAAGTGTCACGAAAATTTAAACAACAAGGTTTGTCCACGCCGTTGCGAAAAAAAAATGCGCTCGTGTGGTCATCAATGCATGAAAACTTGCGGCTCTTCGCACAATCATGAATATTGTGAGAAGATGGTTGATTACTCCTTTCCAAATTGTCGTCACCAATCACCTATTAAGAAGAAATGCTCCGAACCAATCACCTGGAAATGTACCGCTAAGACGTACTTCACAGGGAAATGCGGTCATACAATAGAAAAGCTGTGTTTTCAGGCTGAATCTGATGTGAAATGCTCTGTACCTTGTGAAAAAGTTCGGACATGTGGTCATGCATGCGGGAAAATTTGTGGTGAAGATTGTGGTAACATCTGTGGAAAATGTGATGATATTCATAAGCAAAAAATGAAGCAATTTCACAATGATGCTAAAAGAAGAGTTGCTGAAATTGATAAAAAAATCAAGTCCAAAGCTATAGAAACGTTTTCCATTGACGAAATTGTTCCAAATGGCCCAACTTTAGCCGAATATCAGATGGTCAATGATTTGGTAACAAAATTTGTTCAACCTATGCATAATTGGATGCCTAATGTAGGTCGAATTGAAAAGATTACAAATCTTAAATTAGAGAAAAGGTTCGAGGCGGCTAAGGCCAAAGCATTTGGTGACCATATCGATAAAAAATTTCATGGGACCTCCGATGATGGAGTAAAAGGCATCACTAGGGATGGTTTTCGAATGCCAGATCAAAATCCTCCTCCAGGAAAACGTGGTATGTATGGTCAGGGCATTTACTTTGCTACAGACTCTTCCAAAAGTGCTCAAAAGATTTATACCAAAGGTTCGCAGAAGTTGCTACTCTGTCAAGTTCTTCTTGGCAAAGTTAAAGAGGTTCATCAGCCTGATTATTATTTAAGTAAACAAAGATTGTCAGCTGAGGGATGCGATTCAGTGTGCGCTCCAAGAGGAACAGCCGTTAAAAACGATGAGTTCGTTATCTTTGATCCAGACCAAGCTCTTCCACAGTATATCATTCACTTCACCGATTCCACGAAGGTTATTCCACCATCACTGTCTGCACATTCGAAGCAGAATTTTCAAGTGGTTAGCAGGAAATCCTCTCGAACTGTAGACTTCACAGATCCTTATGAAATGTTTTGTGCATTTGCCGAATCTCACTTTAGACGAATGTCAGCCGGAACGAACCTGCCACAGACAATATCATCCATAGATATTGTTTACAATAAAACACTTGAACAACAATTTGAAGCCACCAGGAATCGATTTAGAAGACAAAACTTTCCTGATAAAGAAATTCTTGCATATCACGGAACAGATAAGAACAACATCCCCAGCATTCTCAAGAATAATCTTCAGTTGAGTTTTGCACGAAGACAAGCTTATGGTCGTGGAAATTATTTCTCAGAGTTCCCTCAAGTAAGTATTGGTTATGGCGATGGGTTATTGCTATGTCGAATTCTTCCTGGAAAGGAATTCGTTGATTCCACCCAGCTAATATACCGTCTGGCTATCATTCCAAGAAAGTTTTGTCTGGTCAAAATAGAGCATCACAAACAAGTGCGAGTGGTGAAATGATGATTATTGAAAATTCGGATCAAATTTTACCATTCTTTGTCGTTCATCTTTGACATTAATTCACAAAATAAGTTTTTTAACTATAAACTTTTTTTTACATAAAACGCAATCTTGTTGATCTTAGCCATCGTCTACGCAGTTAAGCGTCTTGAAAAAAGAAAGTGTTTGCGGTTTTGGCAAGCATGGATCAGCAAGGATGATTTGATTACTCCTGGAAGCGGGGAGTAAGTGGGAGTAATCATTAAAACCGAAAAAATGACAAAACGCTTATATATCTGTTAATTGTATATCCGTTTCCGTTGACATAAACTTCTGGTCTTGTTTATGTCTACGCCACAACGACGAGCCTGGAAACTCACTTGTATGTGTCAATACCTTTAACACGTGAAATAGCACAAAACTTCTGTTAAATCATCAAAAATAGCGGTTATAACAGGAGGAACCCAACGTGGCCGCTCGTAGACAATTCATGTAGTAACGCGCCGTCAAAAATGGGAAAACAAATGCCATTGTACAGAGAGAAAAGCTTTCAGGAAAATGTTGATGAGAATATGGCCAAATTACGGATATCACAACACAAGGTATTATTATTGTTGTTAAATGTCGTGTCAATTGGAATATAGAGAACGTCACGAGATTGTGAGATCATTTCAGAATTTGTTTTATTTTGTTTTATTTAAAATTGTCTGCTTATCCTGGTTAAATGAACAGAACAGTAAGTAAATGGACAAAACTTTCCTTGATGTGTAGTTTATGTAGACGAATATTCGTGATAATTAAAATCGTTAAAAACTTGTTTTTATGATGAACGTAAAATGTGAATTGTTTGTATTGTTACGTTTTAAGTTTTAACTGACTCTCCTTTTGTCAGATAGTTTGATGTAAACAATGAATGGTTCGCGTGAGTTTCGTCATTACAATATTCTTACTATTCTTTTATTTTTATACATAAATTATTTTCAAACCAATAAAAATTTACTAATGAATATATCGTGAGCACACAATTTGGTAATGTGTAAAAGAGGCTCGGAAGAAGTGGTTTGAGTTAAGCCAGCATTGACACAAGTATTATTTTGACAAAATGGGAAATGTTAAACAATTTGTCGGTCACCATTGACAACAAAGCTATCACCCCCAGCGCTTATGGCAATTACAATTAAATTTTATTGATAGTAAAATTGCTGAACGAATTAATTCCGTCGTTTCCCATGCTATTAAGATTATCGATATAATACGTAAATACAGGTAAATGGTAAATACCCTTCGGCGACGCAAACGCCTTTTGGAAGATGTTCACAATAGTCACATGAAGGTCACATTAAGCAACGTATTACACGTGTTCTTGAAACATTGCGCATATTAGTCTTTCACAGTGTCTATTGGTAATTCGTTCTAAAAGATGAACTACTTTTGATTATGAACTGTGATCATTATCAACCGCATAAAGTCGCTCTAAAGCTCCGCGTGCACCAATGTCCACCCACATCCGGTTAAATTGACTTGACGTTTCAAATTTCGTCAACAGAGACGTGATCAACCCACGATATCGTAGTTGTATATTTTCGTTATAAATGTCAAGTGCTACATGTTTGCATGTGTATTTTACATGCTGGCGTCTGTCATGAAATTATTAGGCCAAACTTATTCAGTAATGTTTATAAATGGTTAATAGAAATAGTAACTTTCAGTGTGATTTCGGTATTAATTCTTTTAAAAAGGGTTTTGAATGTTTTATCTTATGTTAGCTGTGATGTGACTTGTGTCTAGAAGAGGAAGTGAATCAAGAGTCGAAACTAGAATGCTAACTGCGGTGGGGTGGTAGTAAAATTCATATAAGTTCAATTCTGACTGACTGACTGAATGTACGAACTTTCACCCCCCCACCCTCGAATGACAATCCATTTGTTCCTGAATGAGTTGAAAACAAAATGATTCTTTTCACTCCTTTGACTGGCTAGAGTGACTAGAACGTAATTCAGTCGTAATTTTGAGTGTGTCGAAATGTAATTTTTTGCAATTATATAAAATCATCATTACTAAAAAATTAGGCCTCACACGATGAACAAGTTCATTTTGTGATGATTTGCAGTGACCTGCTTTCTTTAGTTCCTTTCAAGAGAGTTAGCTACGTCATTTTTTGGCCATTACACCTATTAGTACGAAAAAATAATGATAAGAGTATTAATAAAAACATAATAAAGTGAACTCACTCTTTGTTCTGTTTGTAATTCTACAGAAAATATGGGGATAATTTTCTCGTCCTGGGATTTACGCTCCATTATTTTAGAGAGATTTTTAAAAACAAAGAAAAACTTTGCATTGTTAGTTCTTTAAAGATGTTAGATCATGTGAAGGACAGGGGTTGACTTATGCGTAGTTCCTGGTCTTGTAAATGTGCTGAAAACTTCCCACATACGGGTACCGGGGTGAGCAAGGCCAGGATGAGTTTGCACAAGTATCGTTACCAATCTCCATACTTGATGCGCGCGGGCACTTTCTTTTGCTTGACTCCCTCACTCAAGTCGCGCCGTCGTCGCAAAATTTATGTTCGAACTGGAATCGTTGTTGCTCCTTTAGTACAGCAAAATGCCTTTAGCACAACTTGCAGACCCATGGCGAAAAATGAATACGACACCCATTTCAGAGGTTTGCCTACATGCCAGTGCAGTAGCTGGTTTCATAGCGAAAGACTTCCGAACTGTTCAATATACTTTATTATGTTTTTGGAATATGGCTTCACATTTCGACTTTGTATTTCACTTTTTTTGTTCATAGGCAGGGGACGATACGACTGCTGATGAGTGCAATAACGATGTAAGTTCCATACCCTCGAGCAAACACATGTTGAAAGTTTTCGCCACTCGGCGAAGTCATGTTATCTGAATTTGAATTGTAAAATGTACATAGCTTAACATTACGTTGCTTCATGCCGACAGGTCAAAATGGAAGAGGAACCCTCTTCCGAGCTTGATATATCTTCCGTAGTATCGCAAACGACGAGCTGTCCTAAGGCAGAACGATCTCATTTCGAACTTCTTAAGGTTTTAGGACAAGGCTCATTTGGAAAGGTAAGTGTGACGCAAATCATTTTGATACATCGTAGATAATTCATAATGATAGAGCATTATCAGCTCTATAGAATTTCTGAAACACAATAATGTTTTGTCTTTGTTTGAATTGTTTTTAGTACAATATGCACAATGGGTTGATGTACTTGTCAAACACAGGTTTAACATTTATGTCTTATAGGTATTTCTTGTTCGAAAAATTGTTGGCAAAGACGCTGGAACTATGTACGCAATGAAGGTTCTGAAAAAAGCAACTCTGAAAGGTTCGTTCATATTTGCTAAGTTCTAGAATCAATCATTGTCTTTCTGAAGAGAAATATTTGTTAATATATTACGCATGGCTATGACCGTGTGTTTCATTGCTTGTTGTACTTTCACCTTGTAAAGCACTTGGAAATTTTTGTTTGGTTTGTTCGGATATATCACCCGTGATTACAAACTCGAGAGTTACTAAAACTGTCAGTTATCGTCACTTGCGTTCATAATTGCTTAAATATTATTCGTAGCATGTAATTTTGAACGTTGTATCAATTAATCGTTACACTAAAGAGGCGAAAATTTCAATTCGCCTATTAATTGTGTGGCATCGTAATGTTTTGTGTACCCGTCATATTTTGCACCCACTTCAAATAGTCTCGAAGTCGACATAATATGACAAGTTGTTATTAAAGAACTGTGATGAAACAGTGAAATACAATATTTTACATTTTGGTGTCCTACATGTTCGGTGAAGTCTTCCGTCTGTAGCCTTGTTTATTGACATTTTACAAATAAGCAACTTTTGTGAATATCTTCAAAAGTGCCCGCTAAAGTAATTGCCGTAAAATACTCTGAATATACTTCACGAAGTGACCAAATGTTATGGAAAGCATTATAGATAAAATGGAAGTGACGATTTCGCCTGCAAATACCATAATGTTTCATGATGAGAATTTAATGATATTGGAAGCGTAAGCGAACCTCAAAAAGTCACCCCTCTCATTATCTTATATTGCTGGGTGGGATAGTGTTTATTATACTTTCACGTTCGTTTCATTGTGTGTGCTCACGATCGAAAATGTCAAATTACAGTTAGTAATTTCAGTTAGTTTGTGAATATATTGAATAATGTGTCAGCACATGTCACATTATTATTAATAACGATGATAATGCGATGCAAAGTTTCTTAATTACTTCATGACAAGTAGACCATACATCCTTCCATTATTTTTGCTGAGAAAGGAAATAAATATTTTCAAAATATTTGCTTTCTTGGCGGAGTTAAATAGACAAATATGCATGCTACCATGCTAATAGCCATTTGATGTAAATGATACCAAGTCAACTTCTTTGAAAATCCAGTGTCTTTATGACTGCGCTTAAAAAACAACTTATAGAAAACATCTGAATGTATCTTTCATCAATTATTTGGCACAATGAATGTTCTTTGTACATATATGCATTAGTTATGAGGATGTACTAGTTGACTTATATAGTTGCTATCTCTATAAGATGGGATTCATTTTTCTCGCCAAACTTGCTTTTATCAAATTGCTTTTACTAAAGCTTCTTTTTCACAAGAATTAATTCTTATGCCACAACTATTTGTTTTTGTAAATGAGAAAAGTTTTCCACTTCTTTTTTTGTATTAGAAATAGATGAGTGAAGGGTTTCATTACGAATAAGGAGTTGATATCAACTCTACAGTGCTGTAAAATAGATGTTCTAACTATGAAATTCTGTATAAACTATGATTTTTTTAGTGAGGGACAGAGTGAGAACAAAAATGGAACGTGATATTCTTGTTGATGTGCAACATCCATTCATAGTTCACATGCATTATGGTATGTACTTTATGTTATTAAGTTCATTGTACAGTACCGCTCGCATGTAACTTAACACTTTTTGCATATGATACATGTATGATACAAATATAATATGCATCTGATATGTGTAGCATATATACTGATTCTATACACACATGTGCATGCATCATTCATGCTATTTATATATGTGAAGTAGTTACAAGAGTTCTCACTCAAAACTGTGGAACACAGGATGAAAGATGTCAGGGAAAGGTTTTCACCTTATTCTAAGGCAGAAATTTTTATCCTGTGCAACAGTGGAAGGAAGGGAAAAATTATTCTGAAATAAGCAGAGAGTTAACATCAAGTGGTTGTGCTGTTAGTTGACAAACCATACTAGCATTTATAAAAAGTACAAAAAATGTGTTTGCGTTAATTTGAACAAGTGTAAAGAAAACAATAACTAAATATATGGTTTCTCAGCCCAATCAACAACCCACTATAGTAATGATATTACTATAACCAAAGTGAGGTGAGTGCATGTATAAGAGACATTATATGATAGGAAGTGTTTATTGATCATTTGAAGCGATTGATATTTCCTCTATCATGTATTATATATATCGTATAGTGAAATAAATTTCCCTTATTTCCATTGAATAATGAGTCATTTCTTTGCATAAGGTGTTCAAAAGCCTTTTCCCTTAGATCATTGATCCATTGTTCCACAGTTATGAGTGAGAACTCTGGTAAATGCTTCATGTATAAATAGCTTGAATGATGCATGTGCATGCATATATTATCAGTGCATATGCTATGCATATCATATGTTAAATACACAAGCTGTACTGTATGTCATGTTGTAAATCAAATCAATAGACATTGTCTTTTGAGCAGTTACAATTCTTTTCCTCCCATCCATGTATTATGTTCTGGTTGTTGTGCCCGTAAAATCTTTATGTCTACCAGTTCATTACAAATAACTTCACCACTGAAATGAAACTTAATTTTTAGCATTTCAAACGGAAGGGAAACTCTACCTGATCCTTGAGTTTTTAAGAGGTGGAGATCTTTTTACAAGATTATCTAAAGAGGTAACTATAAAAACATCTTTTTCATTACTTATGTTGTTGTATATGAACAGGCACTGCTCATAAATGCCACTAATGACATTTTGGCTAAGTTTTTTTGATGTCATCATTGAAGATACTTTGTATAAGGCTTTGTTCAAATGCTAAATGCCCAACTGTATATAAAATCATACAATTTGTCATGATCAAGCATATGTGTCCTAGTGGAATGTGTTATAGGTTGTACATGCGGTTTTTGGGTTTCAATCTTGCCCATGACAATTTCATTTCAGTGAAAGAAAGAAAGATTTTTTTCTTGGCATCAAGTTAAAATTTCATGTTTTATAATAAAAGCAATAGAGTAAGTCAGTAATCTATGGTTAGGGATAAGTTTAGTGGGTCAGGCATTAAGATATAAAGTTTTACCATGCTGGGTATTTAGAATTTTGCAATTCCTTCCTGGATGGCAGGCATCCAGATACAATGTTATTTGCTTGTTTGCATTGATTCTTTTGGTTTGTTGGATTGTTAGAATGTCATTTCTTACGCACAGGTTATGTGAATTTCTGTAAATCTTATAGAATATATTTGCCCGATAATGTTTGTACATTTTGAAGATGGGTATTGTCATTTTGGAAATGCCCAGCTTTGTGTCCAAAAGGAAGCCTTTATTGGAATTGAAGTTTGATTACGATTTGTTTAGTTGTTTAATTTAATTGGGTTAAATTTCTAGGTGATGTTTACAGAGGAAGATGTGAAGTTTTACCTTGCAGAATTGGCAGTGGCACTTGATCATCTACACAAAGTTGGAATTATTTATCGTGATTTAAAACCAGAAAAGTATATCTTTGATGTTTGTTCCATTCAATGTCATGTCATTTCCACTACAATGCAAACTTTTGTGGTATTTCCCCCCCATTTTAGTATATTACTAGACAGTGATGGACATATACAGCTAACAGGTTTGTTTTTTGTATTTATTTCCATGTTATTTATGAGTTCTGCCAATGAAGTAGGGCAGTTTTTAATCATACTGTTGATTTTATCATTTTTCCAGATTTCGGCTTGTGCAAAGATTCAGTCTATGATAAAAAGACATACTCATTTTGTGGCACTGTGGAATATATGGCACCTGAGGTACACATCTGTATGTTGTAATACATAGTTGAGCTTAGTCCATTCCTCATCTCAATTATTACTATTTATTCTTGACATCACCTTCAAATCTTTGGTCTTAATTGCTCATTTTTACATGACTCATTGTTGCTTGGACTTTTAAATCTGGCAGCAGACGTGTGATTTCATTGAAAGGTGTTTAGATTATAGCTTTGATATAATGCTGACCAACCAGCATACTGGTATATTGATCCTAAACATAAATATGGCAAAAACATTCTTATTTATAAAACTTTAAAGTAAAGGGATCTCAAAATGTGGCAACTTTTCCTGATCAAGTTAATTGACGGAATCATTGAATATTGTCAATTTGTGCAACTAGCATGTCAATTGTGTAATAAATTATTTGAACATAACAATCCCCCCAAAATTATTGTGTAAGCTTGCGGGTTTGCATAACGTCCATTTGTTGACACTTCTGTGTGATATTGTAGTTAAATATTGATGTTGCTGGATTTCTCTTTTGGTGAAGGCAATGCATATGTTTATCAATTTAAAATATATTTTCAGGTTGTTAACAGAAAAGGACATACACAGGCTGCTGACTGGTGGAGTTATGGTGTATTAATGGTATGTTGTGTGTCATTTTCCTAGCATTGCTTTGAGTTCAATAGATTTGTGTTGATGACAATCTCATTTAGCAACTTTTTGTGATGTGGCTAGTTGAGCTCACACAACAAATTATTCCTACTTTCACTGTTGTCTACATAGATTATTGTAGTTACTGATTATCAATGATTGTTGCATTTTTAGTTTGAAATGTTGACTGGCGCGCTGCCATTTCAAGGGAAAGATAGGAAAGATACCATGACAATGATTTTAAAGTATGTTTTTATCATTCGCATTGTCACATTCCTGACTAGTTTGTGGACTTTCATGATGTCAAAGAAAGTCAATTTTCAATACCATTTGTGAAGCTTTTTTTACATTATTTTTAATCTTGCAACCTGTGAAAGAGAACCCGCTATGATGTCACAAAGCTCTTGATTGCATATTTATTATAATTACTTTATATATATTACAGTTTTGCTCATTATAATATGTAATTTTCTAATTTGCAGGGCCAAATTAGGCATGCCACAATTTTTGAGTCCCGAAGCCCAGAGCTTACTACGTATGTTATTCAAGAGGAACCCTACAAATAGACTGGGTGGGTATTTTTTTTTACTATGATAAATGTCATTAATTTTCAATTATTCCGGGTTCTGTTACTTCAAATCGTTTACATATCTTTTGTCTTTGTCATTATTGGCGTCAGTGATTGATCCAGAATAATTTTGTAGAGTTTTTGGCGCTGTCTTATTCGCATTTGTTTTTTAGTTTAAATTAAATGCTGGTGGTGAAAAACGTTTCAATGTTATACTCTCAACCTCATAAGTTATATATTTTATGTTTGGACAGGTGCTGGAGAAAACGGAATTGAAGATATAAAAAAACATGCGTTCTTTGCCTCAATCAATTGGGGGGTAGGCGACAAGCTTTGTTGTTTTTTTCTATTCTACCTCTTCTTTTGATTTGGATGAACATGTGGTTTGTTTAGGCACCAAATATTATTCGTTGTTTCTCTTGTAATATAATTAAATACGAGTACTACGCTAAGAAATTTTGTCACATTAATTCAAGAGTTGCATACTATTCGGCCTCCTTTATATCTGTGATGAGTAGAGTTCAACACGTTGTAAATATATAATATATTAATTGATACCCTGTACGTATATTAATATTCACCCCTCGTACATGTAGATATCTGCATGCTTAGGCAACCCCTTGTTTCCATCAAAGTATTTCCCATTTTAGAAACTTGTGAAAAAACAATGTAAACCTCCATTCAAACCAGCTGTTAAAAGGACCGACGATGCCTACTACTTTGATAAGGAGTTTACGTCAAAAACACCAAAAGGTACGTAGCAACGCCACACCTGTTAAAGGTGATGTAATATTACGTAATGTAATATTTCAGCTCTAACTATATTATGTCTAATTGTGAACTATGTACTTCATTTAGATTCGCCTGCTATACCACCTAGCGCTAACTGTCATCAATTATTCCGTGGATTTAGCTTTGTCAGTCCTACTCTAGTCGAGGTACATTGCTGTAGTATGTGTTATATTCTTGCCGAACGATGGGCGTGTGACTGAAATTTGTTACTTTATATAAGAAATGTAACAACTTATCTTGTGAAAGGATGTCAGGAGGATGTGACTGACGATTCATTTCATATTTCTCGACAACGAAACTTTCTAATTAGATTTAATTTGTTGAATATGATCTTGTGGATTTCCCACAGTATGTCGTGTTCAAATTGCAGAGGACCGGTTATTTTTCTAACTTCATCTCTTGCAATGTTTTACGTGTTGTAGGGTTGTGCATTTGTTTTTGTAATATTTTAACTTCTCAGTTTTTTTGTTCATTGAGTTTGATTTCGTTTCGCGATTGTTGCCAATTTTGCAACAATGCGAAAGAAATGGTTAAGAACGTACACTTTACACGTGCACATCTTTGACGTATACTTTGCCTTGGCATCTTTCATGGGTGCTTTCACGTGCATTTTTTATGTATATTGTGAAGGTCACAATGTTTATATCTTTCATAGGAGGGCGATAAAAACGGCAATGGTTTTGAAAACATGGATGTCGATAGTGGGGTAAAACAAAATAGTTATGAACAATATTGAATTATGGATTGTCGTTCATCCGTTCCGACGTTCTTTACTTATGTCGGTCATTTTATCTTCTTTGTAAGATGAACATTCTCTCAACGCAGTTTTCGAGCGTCGCCGCGTCATTCACTGATGAATATGACGTCAAAGAGGTACGCATTACACAAAGTTCTTTTAGAGAAATGCCATCTGCTTTACATACCCAAGCTGCTGAAATTGAAGTTGGGGTAATGGCGTTGCCAGCCCTTTGATTTACTTATGCAAACATATTTTTCCGTGCTCGCTCATTAAAAACAATGATGTGTCTTCATATGACGTCAAAGTCCATACGCCATGCTGGTATGTTACTTCAAAGCAGTTTGACCATATATGCAAATTTTTCTGCCAAATCTGGTCGATCGGGCTTAAATTCTCTCCCCTGTTCCGAATGTTGCAACCATATAAAGCAAGGGGGGGGGTCTAAGCTCAGATCCAATCTAGAAACATTTTGAATATATTATCACACTGCTTCAAAAGGTGGATGCTCATCAAATTTTTACCGCTCTATACGCGTTTTTCTATCGACACGGCAGCCAGTGTAAACCCTGTATAATATAATGAAGTTTACATACATTTTTTATTAAGAATGCTACTTTATTGTCCAGGAAATTGCGATCGGCTCGTACTCAGTTTGCAAAAAATGTGTGCACAAAGCTACAGGAAAAGAGTTTGCTGTCAAGGTACGCGAACACGCGAATGTGTATTGTTGTTTCCATGTTCTATGGTTGAAAAATGTCTTCGATGTACTCATTTAGATCATTGACAAGATAAAAAAAGACCCTCGCGAAGAGGTCGAAGTAAGTTCGGAAATTGCAATGTTTTAATATTAACATAGTTGTTGATGTGTTACAAAACATTTAACGAGACAACACAATATCACTTTTAACCTGGAAATACGGAATATCTGGCGGAATTAACTTAGAACTGAAATATTTTGAACAGCATTTTGCACAACACTCACACTACTTTAATGTGCCATTCATTTGTTTCAAAAAAATTCATGTAATCGACAAAGAGATTCTTACATCAGCACATACGTATCAGGCGTTTTTTCCACACGAGCCTCGTTATTTTGATTTATTTATTTTTATGTACTTTTTAGGTTCTACTTCGTTATGGCGGCAGGAATAATATAATGGCCATACAAGATGTGAGTGTATTTGTTTTAATTGTTAAAGCAATGTTTCTGTATCATAGCTTAATCCAAATATTTTTTGTTCAAGGTTTATGAAGATGTGAAGAATGTGTTCATTGTTACCGAATTGATGCGGGGAGGCGAGTTATTGGATAGAATTGTGAAACACAAGAGTTTATCAGAACGTGAAACCGCAAATATCATGTTTACTCTGAGTAGTGCATTGGCTTATCTTCATAATGAAGGAGTAAGTTTGTTGTGCTTGCTTGTTGTATGTCTTCATATTTTGATACGTTAATAAAATCTTATAATGTCTTCACGTATCTCATGCTAACATTGTGCGTGTATTCACGTGTTTGGTACTAATATTGTGTTTGTGCTCACGTGTTTATTGCGAACGTTGTGTTTGTTCTCACGTGTTTGGTGTTAACAAATTTTTTGTCTCCGCTTGTTTGGTGTTAACATTGTCGTCACATGTTTGGTGCTATGTCCCCACCGCTGACCGCTTTGTGATATGTTTACTATTTTACACTGTATTTTAGGTTGTACATCGTGATCTAAAGCCCAGCAACATCATGTATCTTGATGAAAGTGGCTCTAACGAAGCACTAAGAATTATAGACTTTGGTTTTGCTAAGCAACTCCGAGCTGATAACGGTCTATTAATGACACCCTGTTATACGGCCAACTACGTCGCCCCAGAGGTATGTTATTGACTTGGAAATTATCTTACTTGGTCCCAATCCCTTTCTTTTCAAAGGGCACATTTGTTTATTGCTGTAATTGCATAAGTTTTAAATTTTGTTTTATGTAGCTAAGTAGCATTATTGAAGCTGAAATTGTTCTACGTTTAATTTATTGCACATCCGGGGACCTTCGCGTGCACAAAATATAAATTTAAATTGCACCTGCAATACGAAGTGTGTAACGACTAACTTCCCTTTTACGCAATTCAGTAATCACATTCTTCTACTTCTTTAATGTTCCTTGTGTGTTTGTAGTTTATATCGTAACTACACTCCTTAACTCTACACTCTGTTCCTGTTCACTTACCATTTCCCAAGTGATAATTTATGAAAAGAACGAATGCTGCTTCTAATTTGCAACTGGTACGTGCATGATTTAGGTCCTTAAGAAACAAGGTTATGATGTCGCCTGTGACATTTGGAGTCTGGGTGTTCTTCTTTATACCATGTTAGCTGGGTATGTGAAGGAGTATTTTTTATGTATTTCGACGTACTTTCCTCTTTATATATCTTCTATCTGTTTATGTTTAGTTATACGCCATTTGCTCACGGGGCAGAAGACAACGCAGGGCAGATTCTAAAGAGAATTGGTGAAGGGAAGCTCGTGTTATCTGGAGGGAACTGGGACACAGTATCGGATTCTGCCAAAAATCTTGTTCGTAACATGCTGCATATTATCCCCGCCAAACGCTGCTCAGCACAACAGGTATTGCATATGAGTACTGCGTAGTTAATTATTTCGAAGTTTCGTGTTTTCAATTTGATCATATACAGTACTACGCATATACTACTATCACCTTCCAACTCCAAGATTTACGCACGCTGAAGGGATTTAGAAAAGGGATAATCTTATCGTCCTCTTCTTCTGTCTTTCGTTTCAATGTGTTTGGTTGATAAAATTTTGACATTTAATTTCTGAATGGTGCACACTCTTGTAGATATTTGCATATAGTTGCTCATGAGTATGGTAACTGTGGAATAAACTTCAAATCAACTTATATTTCAAAGTATATGATACGCTTTTTAATCTTTGTTTTTCTCGTAGATCTTAACACATACTTGGATCGTAAACAGGAACTCGTTGCCACAAAACAGGCTAACGCTATCAAGTAACCTGTCAAAAATAAAGGTAAACTGTTGAGGTTGTTTTCTGAACGTGTTAGTTGCCATAGTTTTTCTTTCGTTTTTTCCCGATATTTCTATGAAAAGAACACCGCTACAAATTTGACCAAACGCATTCTCTCGACATTACCTGTGCGATGAAAGCTAGGCAATGTTGTTAAATTTCTGTCTCCTGCGCGCAGGCTATTATTAGCACTAGCTACATTCTGCCTACAGCTATGTTATGTGCAATCGATGTAGCATTTTAATGGTGAAAGGCAACTTACAATTTCGTATGCTGTAACAATCAAAATAATTGTTGGTTGCTTCTGTATATTTGTTCTGGTCTTTTATTTGTGGGATATTTAGCAACAGTCGCGTGTATTGATGAATTCGACAAATTTTGCTCTTGTTTAAAACTCACTCAGGTTTCTATAAAGTAAATGGTTTGAATCAGGTTTCTATTTTAAATTTAACGATGTAATAGTGGGTGAAGATTGCGCGTTTTTCTATGTTATCTTGGGTTTTTATTTCAGGATGCATTTAAAGCAACATTTTCAGCGCTGAACTCGAGTCCAGAGGGAAAAAAACTTAAGCCTGTTCAAACGTCGTCGTTGGCACAAAGAAGAAATGGCAAGGTCAAGCAACTTGTAAAGCAGTCGAATGTATAAATCTTTGCCTGTTACATTTGCAAAAACTCTGAATCATTCCATACTTCTTTGTTTGCCAGGATCAGTAGTTTCCGATTTTGTATGATATTTTCCTATGCGTTTGTTACTTTTGACATCACTAACAATTTTTACGTCACGCATGCGCGAAGACGTCATAATAATATAATAATATGAACTTAGAACTAATATGCTGGCGTTATTATTCTTATCAAAAGTCGAAAAATGTTGCATGCTTTTACAAAGCTGCGCGTTTTGTCTATTGCAACTGTTTCATGACGTATGAAATACAGGACGGAATTATATTGGAAAATTGAATAAAAATGCGCTTAAATGATAAAATATTGATTGTAAAAAATAAATGAAATTCTTTTATAGCAACCCTGTCTTTCTTTCATTTGAGTTTGTGTCAGGGTGTCTGAAACTTTTTGCCTTCCTTTAGCAACCCTGCCTTTCTTTCATTTGAGTTTTTGTCAAGGTGTCTGGAACGATAAACTTTTTTTACATTCCTCCTTCCCAGGAAAGATAGGATAAAGGAACGAGGATATAGGAGCAAAACCAAATGAGGTAAATACAGACGAGTCTTGCGATAGTCTTTATCTTATTGAAGTGAGGAACAGTCTATCCTCCTGTAAGAGGGGGCGCTTGCGTGACCTCTACCTGGTGTCCTTACGGGAGAGGTGCGCGCTTATGGCAATTAAAAGCGTATTGCACAAGATTCGAAAGTAGTGCCCGCCTCGGAGAGGTGGAAAACACATAGGAGCTCTACTGTAGATCTATTTTAGTTCAATGTTTTTTAATCTTCAACTGAAAGATCGTTACGATCGCCATCCAGTTTAGCACTTGAGTTCATCAGCCACTTACGTGATGTCATAATTTTATACTTAGTTCTTTGATTCGGCAACTCATGGTCAACTGATTTCGTTGTTTTTATTTCCAAAATAAGAACCCTACTATTTTTTGAAAAGAAGACAGAAAAGCGCTTAAGTGATGCCTAAGAATAAAGGTAAAATGTTCTCGTGGAATCAATGTAAATTCTTTTGAAATACTCGCTCATGGCGTTGTTACTTTGTAGGAAAGGGAGGAAAAAATCGTCGAAGAGGCAAGAACGAAAATGAGTCGGAGAAACGTGAACTTGTGTTCAAAGAAGATGGTCAAGGTTGTAGTACTTAAACTATTAAAGTTAGTTTTTATGAAGAAACATGATAATCGATGTTTACTGTGTCGTAGAGTACGCACAAGTGACCAAAATGTTAGGAAATGGCCGTCTCGAAGCCTTGTGTTTTGATGGCACGAAACGTCTGTGTCATATTCGTGGAAAGCTTCGGAAAAAGGTCAGTTTACGGTTCATTCGATTTTTTTGTTAATTGCTACATTAAAATGTGATCAAACTATATTTTACCATTGTTAATAACAGATATAGGTGTATGCTTTTAATATATAAATCTGTTAAGGAGAAAGTTACCTCTGAAGGATGCTGTATCTCTGATTATATTTGTGTTCACCTTATTGTGGCTCTCCCAAATAGGTTTGGATAAATGCTGGTGACATCATATTACTTGGCCTAAGAGATTTCCAGGTAATTGATAACTTGTATTTAATCACTTATTTCTTCATCATAGGGTAGTCTGGTCCTTGTAAATTCTTTTGCTTTGGCATGGTTATGTTTTTACATGTTTGTAGATGTAGATCGTCCAGGTTAGTACAGTGGACTATACTAACTATACTACCCTGGCCGATCTACATCTACAAACATGTAACGATACTCCTGGGCTCAAACCATTTACATGGTTACGTTTTTGTTGTCCAGGATAACAAAGCTGATGTGATTTTGCGTTACAATCCGGATGAGGCAATGAGTCTACGAGCCTATGGAGAATTACCTGAAGATGGTAACACTTTTTTTTAATTTGAAGTTTATTATTTAATTTATTAATTTTTTATTTCACAAATTTTTTAATTTTAATTTTTTTTTAATTCATTGATTGATCAATTAAATGCAAGTGTATGTATTTAGTGAAAATTGATGATACTGCGGAGATTCAAGATGATATTGCATTTGGTTTTGATGAAGATGAAGACGAAGATGATGATGGACTAACATAGAAAAGTAAGGTATGTTAATTTTACACTTCACTAATTGTGATGGTATTACAATGGTTCATGATAAAGTGTTGCCTGCTAAAATTAATGGAGCTGTACAATGCAGCCTTCATATCAATTAGATATACCAATACGATTGCATGTAATATTTTTACCAATGTTGCCCATTCTTTATCTTAGGCATTCGTTTTTGAAATATTTTAAAAATTATTGGTACAATATGGCACACATCGTATCTTGCCTTACTTGATAAATGAAGGAAAACTTCAAGAATCGTTCTCCAATAGCGTCATGGTATTTATTGGTTACCAGTTTTGAATTTTTCTGTCACTGTAAACTCACTACTATCTATACATGTGTTTTTGTCAAAGCTTCAGATAGTTGTTAGTTTACGGAACAGAAATGTTTTAGGATGGTTATGTATTTGTTATGTTCTGATATCATCATTTATGTTGATGGCAATTTAATCTTTAATGTAAAGTACAAAAATATTTTTTTGTTAAATTATAGGTTTTGAGAAATAATTTCTCTATTGACTATGAACATGTTCAATTTATATCAAGACTGTATCTAATCATTATATATTATCTTAAGTTTTTTGGAGAGTAGACACTACATTCTGTTTACTTGTGTTTATTCTTGTGTTTGTAGATAAGGTGGCAAATTATGCAATATCAAATGCATAATTTTTAAGACAGAATCTTCAATTTCCATATCTATATATTTTGATCTTAAATTTTTTCATGCTAAGCAAAAGAAGTAATAGTCAAGGTGACAGCAACTGCTTTGTCATACTACAATATAGTTCTAGCTTTCCCTCATCATATTTATTCAATTGACTTTTACTTGATGATGAACTCTTTTCTGTTTGAACACTCTTGTGTCATTATCTTTCTCTCCTTTTTTTTGATTTCTTTCTGTGGGTCTCTGCACTACATAGTTTTCAGCCTTAGAGAGGCACTCCCATTTTGCCTCAAATGGGAATTTAGAAACTGTACACGTAGACCCAAAGATACTAAGACAAAAAGAGTGAAAATAGAACGTTAAAAAACTTCTTCTATGAAATGACTTTTAAAAGGATGACACTTAGCGAAATTACGACTTTTAAATTGCGTCTGCAATGAAATGACAATAAAGTAATGATTTAAAAAAAGTTTGAAATCGACCAATGGGAGCAATATACCGGTGAATTCTGGTCACGTGTGAGTTTTTTCAAGCCCTAAAATTGCGCGGGAAACTTACAGCTGTTGGAAGACTGAAGGGAGAAAAGAAGTAGATATGGCTGCCCAAACAACTAAACAAGCTGTTTTAGGTACGACGTTATTTGTAGTTTTGTACATTTTTATTTGTTTTATTATGTGTATAACTATTTCCACACCATATATTTTCATATTTTAGATGTACCGTATGAACAGACTTTTCTGTTGTATTTGAATTCTCTTCCAAAGGTAGGAAAGAACAACCTCGGCGCTGTAGCTGATGCTCGCTTGTATTAAAATGAAGCGCTTGAAGAACTTTTTAGTTAGCTTTTCAAACCAGAATATTTTTCTCGAGAAAGAATATATTGTCAGTTTTCTTTCCTATCTGATTAATTTGTCTTTGTTTTTATGGAACTGTCCTCAGAAGTCTGAAACGACAATTCGTGTGTTTGATAGAAATGTAAGTCAACAGAACACAATTGGGATGTTCTCGCTTATTGACAAACAAGATGAATACATTTCAACCCAACTTAGGTTCATCGCTTTTATTTAGGAGTACTATACCGTCCATGGGAATGATGCAACTTTCATTGCCAAAGAAATAATCAAGTCTTTGAATATTGTTAAGCACATAGGGGCTGGTATGTGGATAATGTACACCGCTAGTACTTTTTATGTATTGCACCCTCAATTGCCATAATTTCTTTTTCCTCAATTGCTACTTGCACATTCTATATTATCTAAATAGCACTTTTATAGTAACTTTATTGAATTATATATTATTAAAATGTTCTTGGTTTGGGTTTATTTTGGTGGGACATGGTTATTGCTACACATTGTTGGAAGTTAGTTGGTGAATCAAGGCCCCTTTCTTACAAGAAGTTTGTGCAGGTTGAAAAAGATTTGACTCCACCCTCATGCTCATGTTTGCTTCTTGTTACATGAAAGTCAATTTTTTATTACAGGAGAAACGAAGATGCCTTCCATTGCATTAAGCAAGCCTAAGTTTGAATCAACAATCCGCGAGCTCTTATTAGTTCGACAGTATCGAGTTGAAATGTATCAAAACAAAGGTGGCAAAGGAGCTAAACAAAACTGGTTTCTTGCTGGAAAGGTGTGAACAGCAGGGGGGGGGAGTGATTGTGTGATTTGCTGTGATTTATAGGCGAGAAACATTTTTATAGTTATGACCAGGGGGTTGGAAAATGTTTTGATGACTGCAACCAGCCATATATTTTAAATTCCAGTGTAAATATTTTTCATTCCTGTGTTAGGGCTTTTCAACTCTTATGAAATATTAATATGTTGTATATTAATTTGTTAACATGTTGGAGCAGTTTGGTATTGTAAATGTTGTAGTTCATTACAAGCCAAATGCATATAGCATAGTTTTGTCACGAATGCTCATTGACTAGTAGAATTAGTCACTTTTTGCATCTAGTTTACATAGTATCTATGCTCATTTGCTTTAATATGATTGGTACGTTTTTGTCGTGGCTGTCTTTTGATGTTCTTCATTTCTTTTAAACAAGTTAATTTGCACTCATGCTTTTTATTTGTCGATTAATATTTTGTGTAGGCTTCTCCAGGAAACTTACAGCAGTTTGAAGATATTTTGTTTGGCAACAATGAAATGTCCAGTTCTGTTGCGGTGATGGCTTTTAAACTCATTGGGAACTCTAATCAAAAGGTATTGCTGAAAATATTTAGAAGATTTATTTCTATAGTGTTTCTACAATTAGCTTGACATGATGCATCACATAATGGCAAATTTATGTTGTGCTTTGGCTATATTTGACTCTGTTGGACTATATTTGACTACTTTAGACTATATTTGACTAAACATTGGATTAAACATGACAATGTTCGACTGCTTAAGAAGAAATAAAAAATAGGTACGCAATAGGTTCATGTGAATAGCCTTGTCATGAACAGAGTTCAAGTGTACGTCTTTAACATATATAATGATAATTGTACATCAAAATGCCTCAAAATTATTATGCCTTTCTTTGACCCCTTTCTTTTGTGCATAAATGTGCTCTGTGCTCACAGAGAGTGGAATGAATAAGGTGTGTAAGTATTGAATTAACTAGAATAAATACGAGCACAGTGCGTCAAAAAACATTCGTTTACGCGACCATTTTTGACAGATTCTTTTCAGCTATTACATTATGTGCAATATCTATAAGTTTGCAACAAATGGCTCTGTCTTCAATTGCCATTCTTCAGAAAGGTGTGACCATTTTATACTATTTGGATTATCTTATGTCGTATTTACTGTATTTAAAAGCTTGATATTGGAGATTGTTTTATAAGTTGAGTTACCAGGTCATGATCAAAAGGATTTTGCGCCCATTTTCTTTGACATGCATTTTTAACTATTTAACTAGACAGATGACATGTTTTCCGTTCGACCTAAGGTTGTGAAAATCTAGTGATCTGGCTAACAATTCGTGTTGAGAATTTCACACAGACATAACAGCTCAATTAATGCTTTGACGTTATTTGTCCTTAACCTTTTAATCAAGAAAAAAAATTATATGAACTTCTACTTACTTTAACTTTGCCATGGTGTGTGCATGTGTGAATTAGTGAGGTTTTACAAGGTATAGCAAGAAGCTTTAAATGAGTTTTACAATTGATGTAATTTGCTTCGCGAAATTGTGCAATAGTTAAGCGCGCTTTGCTATTTGCTAGGCGTTAATCAAGACCTTGTCCCCTTATCAAGAAACTTATTTGCCACTGCAATCCATCAGGTTTTAGGTGCAGCATGTATTGATGTTTCAGAAAGGAGTATTTCCGTCTGTGAAATTGCTGATGATGATCAATTTTCTAATGTTGAGGTAGTCACTACAGTGTTTTTCGTGTTGTCTGTCATTACTAGATCTCTATGATTGACTGTCTTTTCAGGCATTGTTAGTTCAGATGGGTCCAAAAGAATGTATTATTCAAGCTAATGATAAATCAGCTGATGCTGTCAAATTAGAAGAAGTTATTAAACGATCTGGAATTCTTATTACCAAAAGGAAAAAAGGTTAGTCATTTAAAGAAAGTGACAGGATACATAGATCTTGCTTTTGGTAAAACATCTGTTTGAACACTGTGTATGCACGTCCTTTTAATGATCTTCTCACAAGATACGTTTAGATTTACATTTAAACAAAACATTCACATTTCTCACACTGTCCCACTTGTAATTTCCACATCACGAATACCTTAATCAAATCTTTTCAAACCATGATGACGTCACGTGCTTCTGGATAAGTTTCCCACAACGTGAGTGACCTCCCAAGCTAGTGCGTATACCTTTCGCAAAATGACTTGGCATGATATGCATAATTTGCGAGCTACCAGAAAAATAAGTTGAAATTAGCAACTAAACACAAGGTCCAAATTCATTTTAAATAATTTTCTAACCGGGATGTCGTAGCATAAACAGGTTTGGTCTATCATTCTATAAGTATAGCTGTCCATGCATCCTTTAGTTTGCGTCCTTTTTATGCATTTTTGTGTATTATGATTTTATTTATTATATTATTTCTCTGTTTTCATTATTTGAGGTGTTTCATGAAAGATAATGTTTATTTCTATTTGTAGGTGATTTCTCGTCCATCGACATTGTGCAGGATCTCAACAGACTTTTAAAGAATAATCCTGGAGATAGTTCGGCTTTGCGTAAGTCAAAGTCATTGTTTTATTTTTTTTTCTAACATTTTTATCTTTTCAATTGAAGTTTTCGATTACGTATACTTTTAACAGCTGAGGTTGATTTGAAACAAGCGATGGAATGCGTTGCTGTGATTATAAAGTATCTTGAGGTAATTGATATGTCACTTGTGAGTATGGTTGTGCATACCTCTACGATTGTTTGATGAACGAAATACTTAACAGAAATTCTCTATTAATATGCTGTTATCTAAGCATGAAATACCCTAAAACTCCACCTCAAGCGCCCTCCCCACACACATCCCCCCACATCATAAGCCCTCTCGTTAATAAGCCCACCAATAACACTAAACTCATATCACAGACATGCCCACTCACATAGAATGTTTAATGCGCACAGATTACAGCCGTGTATTAAAGTCGTTGTGTTACACCCCCTCCCCATTTATTTAATTGTCCCTGTTTATAAGCTAATGAAAAAAAGGGCTTACGAACATATATAAACAAATATTTTCTGGTGGATTAATTACTATAGCAAGGAACAATTTCTCTTGTTTTAGGTACTGTCTGATGAGTCAAACTTTGGTCGTTTTCGTTTGTCCACCATTGACTTGAGTCAACACATGAAACTTGATGCGGCAGCTGTTCATGCTTTGAATATTTTACCTTCTTCCACAGATGGTATGACAATGATATTCAATCTTTCTTTTTGCATGAAAAGTAAGATAACCCTTGTGACCATGACGGCAAAACTGAATTAGCTTTTGTAAGTAAGAACCATAGATATAGTAGAAATAGATTGCTTACGTACCTTTAGCGCGAATGATCCCATATGCGGTAATTCTAAATGGCGTCTTAACCCGGCAAAAACAGTTTGAATTGTGCTACAAATTCTATTTATTTCCTCACTACGCTGATTTATTGGTATTACTCAACTCTATCGACCTATTTTGAAAATAAATGTTCATTGCAGTTCTACTACACATACTCAATGACGTCGCCAGCTTGATAAGTGAGGGAGACAATATTCATATATGGATGGTTTAATCCATGCATATATATATCAATGTTATGTGAAAATATAGCATAATATTTAATTTTATGTGAAAATATAACCATTGCTCACTTGGCCTGTTTCTGCAATTCTTATGCACGCGTTCATGACTGCAAAGATGGATTAGTATTTTCCACAACTCGTGTGTTAGTGGTAAGGGACTGGGATTTAGGGTCTGGTCGAGGGGACTGAGTCAGGATTAGACTTAGACTTTTATGACGTGATGACTTACTGCGAGACTCTAATCGTAGTGGCCACAAAACCTTATTTTATCAGCCACAAAATCTTACTTAGTTGGCGTAAAAAATATCAAAAACTGATTATTGATGTGAACTTTAAACCAGTAGATATAGTGATTTACAGTTGACGCCCTCAGTCAAAACGTGCAGTGGATACTGAAACGTGCTGTTCATTTACTTTTTTTTTGACAACGTGCAGAAAAATTAGACTTCTGCCCGAATTGTAAATCAACATGTTTTTTCTTGTGTAGGCTCCAAGTCCATGTGTTTGATGAATTTGCTAAATAAATGCAGATCTCCTCAAGGCAAGAGACTTTTGGGACAATGGATTAAACAGCCTTTACTGGATGAACAACGCATAGGTAGGTACAATGGTTAGTTCCTCGCAGGTTGATGGAATTGGTACAAATATTGGCACATACATAGATAAAAGTATAAGTACAATGCCAAGTGTATGTGCAGGCGCATTGTTAGACGAATTTGTTGATGAATTGGTAAATATATCGGTTGGGGTATTTTTTATAAAAAGCTGCATGCATTAGCAAATGAATTGGTTAATAGATCTATTGGTACAGTTTTTATAATAAGTTACATGCATTACCAGATTAATTGGTTGATACATCGAATGGTACATTTTTTAAAAAAGGTACGTGCATTATCAGATGAATTTGTTGATAGATCAATTGGAACTTTTTTTATAAAAAGGTAGCTACATGCATTAGTAGATGAATTGGCTGATAGATCGATTGGAACATAAATACATGCATTGTTAGGTGAATTGCTATAAATGAATAGGTAGTTGGATCTGTTGGTACATTTTTGACACATAGGTACGTTCATTGGTAGGCATATTGTTAGCCACATTAGTGGGTGTATAGGGGTTGGTGCATGACATTCGTTGACACTTCGATACGTGTACTGCAAGGTACATTGTTAGGTATATTAAAGGGTCCATAATTCTACATTACATTTGTCTTATTACATGCAAGCAAGTACATTTGTTGGTGAGTAAGTGGGTAGGTAAATTAAGTAAATCTAGGTATTTTTGACAAGTTTATGCAGGTAAGTTACGAGGTTGTGTCATGCTTTTATTACTGTGCATACGTATTGTGGCGGTTTGGGTGTGATTTTCAACGATGCGAAAACAGCGCTCATTATATGAGTACAATTTGGATTCATTGTCAACTACACATTTGAAATTGACTTCTAATAGTGTTTATAGCAAATTTTTTACCTCTTTGTTCGTAATTTATGATGTTCGTAAGCCTACGTATATCTTTATCTCTCGTGCAGGCGAAAGACTGAATATCACGGAGGCTTTTGTCAACAACGTACTTTTGCGTCAAACAGTTCAGGTAACACTTTATAACGCTATAACTTGTTAAACGATTATTGTAAATATGTCAATTTGTTGTAGCATTTTCTTTATTATTTCCTTACGTTACGCCATTCTTATTCTAAACAGTGGTGTACCCAGTCCGGTTATAATTAGTCCTGCATGCTAAAGAAATTTCGCTGTCTTTACTCTCTGAAAGAACCAGAAAAGACTGATGACTTTTTTTAAAATTTACGTACAAGGACTAAATTTAGAAGGCTGGCTACGCCTCTGTTTTATTTCACTGAACCGTAAAATCTTGATACGTAGTTGCTGAAGATTCTGTGTCGTTTTTCACAGGAGGAACTGAGGCGGTTTCTTGACTTCTCAAGAATGGCGAAGAAGTTTCAGAAAAGTCGAGCGACACTAAAGGTGTGAAAATATCATGGAAAATATAATGTCTTTTTGTGTTGTTTTGCTGCATTGTAAGTACGTTAAACCCATTCAATTGAATAAAACTGGAAGGCTATTTCTTACGAAATTTGAAGCTGGCATGTCAACTATGTAGTTCCAATCTTTTCAGGCACGGCCAAGAGAAATATTAATACGACTGTAGGCTAAAATGCGTGACTTTATCTATAAACACAATTGTGTATTTCTTATCATTCAAGTAAAAGCATGTTTACCCGAAGATAGATTTTATTTTATGTGTTCCGCTCAATTTAAAGGCTGCATGATATTCAACTTCAGGACTGTGTGCGTGTGTATCAGGCGGTGGCCAGGATTCAGGAACTTGTGACGGGTTTAGAAGAATGCAATGATGAACATCAACCACTGATTACTGAAGTGTTTATCATACCACTGCAGGTACCAATTTTTTATCTTTTTTATACACTGTTTTTTACTAAAACATTAACATTATATAACGTCTCAGAAACGTGCTATCAGAAAATAGGTTGCTTGGTGAGAGGTGCTCCTGTACAATTCTCCTACTGACTTAAAGAAGTCTCCAATGTTTCTTCGATAGACTATTCAATTCTAAATGCTCCTTGTAAAATCACTTATTACGTTCAGTTGATGAAACCGAATTTGCGTGCTTACCAATTTGTCAAACTCGACATTGCCGCAATCTTAATCTCACCAAATATAACACGAGATGAATAAATGTTATTTGTGTCTTCGCCACTATCCGTAAACAATTTATAAAGAATTTGATAACGTATTGGTTTTTACAGACTCTAGGGCTATCCTGAAGATATTGTTCTTAGATAGCAGGCTAAGGTTTTTTGGTGCTTTTTAAATTTTTAAACTCAATTTGCACTTTAAAGCCATTCAATATTGTATAAAAGTGTATGTAATAGAACATTGTTTGCAATGATATGGTTAATTTATAAGACCACGTGGTTATACACATGATAGCTTTATGGTAACTTGTGAACAGGATATACAGTTGAGCTTTGTGGAATTGCATAGTAGATTTACAATAGTGCTCAAACTACAAGAAGTCAACTCAAGTTTCTTGTTGCATTTTGTTTGGCGAAGCGATATTATTCCCTGGGAATTTTACATAGCTTTCCGTCAATGACAGCTCGTAGCTATTGTGTATCTATGTATTTAGAATTTTTCGTGGCGTTATGAGCGTATGGGAAACGTTTGTCTGTCTAACCATTTTTGATGGAATTCACAATTCAAGCCTTGTTGCATGTACATGTAAATTTGACGGTCATTGACAAAAAGGTTTTCAGTCAAGAATGCGGTTGCCGAAAGGCAGGCTGGGTAATAGGGCAGGAAAGGAATACTCACGTATTTTTAATACGTTTCATGTTTCTCTTAGTCTTAATTCACGTTAACGTTTGAACTGAGATTTTGTACGTTGATTTACAACGGTTAAAGTAAACGAAAACTAGAGAATAATGTTCAATAGACTTTTCTCTTTTGGTTTTAGGAACTAATGCAAGACTTCACAAAATATAATGAACTGATAGAAACAACCATTGATTTTGATCAAATAGAAAATCAGGAATTTCTTATCAAACCTTCATTTGACGAGGCCCTTCAAGGTAAACTGTGGGATGTCTTAGCTATAGATGAGGATGCCTTAATTGTAGATGAGTATGTTTTAGCTTTGGATGAGGATGTTTTAGCTGTAGATGAAGATGTTTTAGCTGTAGATGAGGATGTTTTAGCTGTAGATGAGGATGTTTTAGCTGTAGATGAGGATGTTTTAGCTGTAGATGAGAATGTTTCAGCTGTAGATGAGAATGACTTATGAGAATATCGTACTTTAGCGGCAATCTTCTGCTTTTGCGTTGATGTATATTTTAGTTACATTTCTTAGTTTGAATCATCATAATTTAATTTATGTAGAATGCAGAGAAAGCATGGATCAATTGCAGCAGAAAATTCCTCGAGAATTAAATAAGGTAGCGTAATGTTTTGTTCATTTAATATCATGAACTCATGATATTGAACAAATACATTTGCCATTTACAGGCTGCGAGTGAGTTGGGTCTAGAAGCTGGAAAAACAATCAAACTGGAAACGAGTAACCAGTTAGGATATTTTCTACGCATCACAAGAAAGGCATGTGAGAACGGTTTCTTGATTTTGTAAGGCTGTGTGCGTATATAAGATACCGGATGTGACAGTCAGTCTTCAGATTTACTTTCGTTATTTGTTAATTGCTATCATGAAGAATAGTATTATTTTTACTATAAACACGAAAATCTTTGCACACGCAGTGAGGTTAAATAGATCAGATTGGCCATGCTCTCGGAGACGTGCGTCCATATGTCAGTATATGTGTTTTCCATAACATTTTATATGTGCAGTCTTCATATGCAGTGATGGATCCACGATGGTTTTGTATGTGCTCACCTATCCGCATCTCTCGCCTTAATCCATCACTGTCCATATGTCAGTATATGTGTTTTCCATAACATTTTATATGTGCAGTCTTCATATTCAGTGATGGATCCACGATGGTTTTGTATGTCGCACCTATCCGCAACTCTCGCCTTAATCCATCACTATCCATATGTCAGTATATGTGTTTTCCATAACATTTTATATGTGCAGTTTTCATATGCAGTGATGGATCCACGATGGTTTTGTATGTGCGCACCTATCCGCACCTCTCGCCTTAATCCATCACTGTCCATATATCAGTACATGTGTTTTCCATAACATTTTATATGTGCAGTCTTCATATGCAGTGATGGATCCACGATGGTTTTGTATGTGCGCACCTATCCGCACCTCTCGCCTTAATCCATCACTGTCCATATGTAGTCGGGATTTTTCATCAATAGGAATTTTTCCCGATACGAGTCATTTCCCCACATTAATGCCTTCTACAACAATATGCGCAATGCTGACTTTAAATGATCTTACTTATGCACCCACGTGACATCTGAATAAGACGTTTTTATTTGGGTGGAGGACCATATATTTTCGTAGTATACGTTTCTTGTGCATTGTTATGCGTTTTTCTGTTATATGATATTCACCAGTTTCAGTTCAAACAACAAATAGAAGAAAGAGTAACTTTAGTTCTTTTGAACGTCGAGTGCGAGTTCAGTATGTTTGAAATGAAATATTTTAGTATGTAAACGTGTGTATGTATTTTGTCATTTAATATTTTTATGGCGTCATGCACAAAATAATGCAAACACAGCTACAGAACAATCTTCACACGCGTTTTATTGGTTTTTTTTTATATAAAAGCCGTTATGGAAGATGATTGAGTTTAAAGACTCAATGAATTGAACATTGACTTTTTACTACCGTATACCGGTAATAGAAATTTCCTTGAAAATATCCCTGAAGCAGGTGGGGGAGGGGGGTGGTCGATATTCATATATGAATGTTCAGTTCGGATAATTTCCTTTGAATTAAATCAGATGTATCTTATATGCATTTACTACTCATATTATCGAGGCTGGCTACGCTATTGATACTGTTCCATTTTGTCTCGTCCTATAAACAATCCATACGTAAATAGATTACATATTTTCAGTTTTTAAGACTGTTGATCTTGTCCTTTCCAGGAAGAGAAAAAGTTACGTGGTAAAAAGCCTTACATTACGCTGGAAACGAAGAAAGATGGCGTACGTTTTACGACTTCCGTTTTAAGACGAATAAACGAAGAGTTTCGCGTTTTGAAGAACACGTACGATGATGTTCAAAGTAAACTTGCAGATGAAGTGTTAAAAGTTGCAGGTAAGCTACGAATTTGTATCATGAGTGCATTATCTGTTCTTATTTAGAGTTCTTTACTCCAGTCTGAAAGAATGAAACAGAGATTGTCAATTTTTTAGTTTTACTCGCGTTCTAGTGTTTCCGCATGATGTTGACTAATATGGAAACTTTGGTCCTTATAAACTCTAGTCTAGTATCTTCCTCATGAGTGATCTGATGTTGAATCTTAACTACTTATATACTCCGGTCTAGTGTCTTTATCAGGAGTGATCTGATGTTGAAACTTAATTACTTATATACTCCAGTCTAGTGTCTTCATCAGGAATGATGTGATATTGAAACTTAACTACTTATATACTCCGGTCTAGTGTCTTTATCAGGAATGATGTGATATTTTGAGTCTTTACATACTCCAGTCTAGTGTCTTCATCAGGAATGATGTGATATTTTGAGTCTTTACATACTCCAGTCTAGTGTCTTCATCAGGAATGATGTGATATTTTGAGTCTTTACATACTCCAGTCTAGTGTCTTCATCAGGAATGATGTGATATTTTGAGTCTTTACATACTCCAGTCTAGTGTCTTCATCAGGGGTGATGTGATGTTGAAACTTGAGTCTTTACATACTCCAGTCTAGTGTCTTCATCAGGGGTGATTAGATGTTGAAAGTCGAGTCCTATATGTACCCCAGTCTAGTGTCTTCGTGCAAAAAGGACTTATGTTCAAAGTATAAGTGCGAATATCTATTCTAGTGATTGGTGATTTTCTTTAATATTTTATCTTAGGTGGTTACGGTGAACCGATGCAAATTTTGAGTGATGTCCTGGCAAAACTTGACGTCTTAGTTAGGTTCGAATTGCACGAATTGTCGAACTTCTATCGTCACTTTTATAGAAAATTTTTTTTGCCTTTAGTTTTGCTCACGTAGCTGCTTGCGCTCCTATACCTTACTGTCGTCCGAAGATATTACCAAAAGGTTTGTTCTTTATTCATTAACTCAACACTTGATCAATGTACCTATTGTCTATGTGGGATTTTTTTCAGAGCAAGGGCTGATAGAGTTGAAAGCTTGTAGGCATCCATGTTTAGAAGTTCAGGACGATGTTTCTTTTATCCCAAACGACGTTATATTGAAAAGAGGTTGGTGAAGATTTTTCCGTGCTTTCTTATTGAGGGAAGATTGGAAAACAAATATTTTTGGTAGCAAATGATGATCTTTCTTGTTGCATACGTAACGAGTACAAAACTAAATTTTAATTTATTGTCGAACTGTTGTCGTGTTTTAATTATTTTTAATGGCACAAAGGTTTTCAAAAAAGTTGTGGTTTCTGGGCACTTCGAGTGTGTGTTTGTTTGCAAAATGCAACGTTAGTTTATTTACCAGCAGTGTTATTGGATATATTACATAAATATTTATAGGAAAAGCCTTCAACAAATACAAATTGTCGGTTGCTGCTTCTTATTTAGTTCATAATTTTGCAATTCTGGTTTATCCAACAAAAATTTATCCTGAGATGATTTTTATAATGGTTGGTTTTATTGCATGGTGCGCCTAGCTTTGACAGGAGGGTACAAATTTTCCCACAAAATGTTATAAACATGCTTGTAATCATCTCCTACCTTGAACGTTTTCTACTTAGATGAACAATATTTCCTGATTATTACTGGCCCTAACATGGGTGGCAAGTCAACATATATACGATCGGTGAGTAATTGAAGAAATATATTAGAAAGTTACTTTCAAATTTAATATTGCTAAAAGGTTGAAAAAACGAGTTTCACAACTTTATACATGTAAATTATTTGTTGCTTAAACTGTGTACCTTAATCAATTTAAGTGTGTATTTGGTATGCATGCATGAGACATTTTTTTATATGTATCTTTACTGTAAAGGTGAGTGTTGCTGTACTCATGGCTCAAATTGGATGCTTTGTTCCATGTGAGGAGGCCAGTATTTCTATCCGAGACGCAACATTAGCAAGAGTCGGATCTTCTGACAATCAAGTAAAAGGTGTTTCCACTTTTATGTCAGAAATGCTCGAAACTTCCTCGATACTAAGGGTATGTGAGACAAAGTACCCATTCTTTCAGGAATATTGTATGGGTACTTTGTTATTTTCACGCTTTAAGATCAAAAATAAATCAATTTTTTGTCTCAGGGCATGATATTCACAATGTAAACAGTTTCTGCTGTTTTGACGTTATCCTCCTGCTATTCAATATTTTATGTGCATCCTCGACCGTTTGTGAATAGAGAAAATTTAAGGTCAATGTATAATAGATATAGTACACCTATAGGTGTACAAATATTTTTGTCAGTACTTTTTTCAATAGAATTTGGTTTTTGAGGCTTGTAAATATTTCAGGTTTTTCATAATCATTGATTATTATGCTCATTAACACAAATTGGAGTGCGTCGTCAGTATATAAAACGAATTGTATAAGCGTTTTATCAAGCGTCAAAATTATTTGGGCCAGCCTGTATTTGACAAAGTATATACACAATATATCGTAAAAGCAAAGAAAATAGAAATTTGAAGAGTTATTTACGAAAATATACAAACACCGATTAACAGTTTTTGCTTCGGAATTATGTCTTTCAACTCGTTAATTGGGCTCTAATTGATGTCTTAATCCGAGCATTTTTTACAAAAATCTTACTGAAACGACATCACCTAGGTCTGCCCTTATTTTGCTTTCAGATTGCGACTGAAAACTCTCTTATCATTATCGATGAGCTTGGACGGGGAACATCAACTTACGATGGCTTTGGTTTAGCTTGGGCTATTTCAGAGTATGTTCAATGATTGTTGACTTCGTCATTTGATTCAATATTTGTTTTATCAATGTTTCGGTCGATCTTAGGTATATTACACCACCGTCGAAGACCTTAGTGCTTACACTCATCTCTTAATATAGATACATATCGACGCGTATAAAGGCCCCATGCCTCTTTGCAACTCATTTTCATGAATTGACGGCGTTGGCCGATGTTGTTCCTACTGTTAGAAACTATCACGTGACTGCCATGGCTACAGATAATTGTCTTACTTTGTTGTACAGAATAAAACCAGGCAAGTAACAGTTTTATTTGAAAGCCTTGTCTTGATTGAGCAGAAAAAGTAGTTGATCGAGCAACACGGAGAATCAGCTCGTCAAGAATTGAATTAGTTTATGTAGCCAGCTTATTTGGTAGTATTAATATTAGTACGTTTGCTCGTCCGTATGATTTCTGTTGGCTGCTGATTTCCGAAGCAATTCTAAACTTTATTCACTTGGTGGATAGACTCGCTCATTCTGTGCTCATTTTTAACTCGTGGATCAGCATAAACTAACTTTTTAGTTAAGTTCTACTTTGACTTCCATGTACATTTGAGTTCTTCTTAAGACTTAAAATAACTTTCTATTTATCTTAGAAGCTAATTCTATGTTTATATACGATATCTTTTGGTTTTTTAAAAAAACTTTTGTAAATTTTCACTCAGCCCGTTTTCAAACTTTCAAACTACTCCTGAATCTCTTTCATCTCATCCTTGAGTCGAGTACAATGACCTTAGATCACTGCTGTTGTAAAATTTTAATTTTATTCTTTATTTGAACAGCGAAACCCATTCAGTTACTTAAAGCCCATTTTATCTGGTTTTAACAGTGTATACAATTATAAAATAAAATCTTATTATTAAAGCATGCTATGTAATTGTTTACATTAACTTCCAAAATTTACTGAAAAATCATAAACTACACCTGTACCTTTTGCCATATTAAAGAAAAGCCTTGTACGCATTACACGCACGTTTATTCGTAACCGCAGTACACCGCATGCGAAAAACCAAAGATGCAGTACAAAATGTTTAGGCGTGATACGTATGCGTTGAGCAATGATGATATCGCAGGGGTCCTGAAAACAGTTGATATGTGAACTGTCTGGTACTCGACGATTCGGTAGTCTTCGGTAGACTGACCTTGAGTTGTTGGGTTACTGGGATTGCGATAAGCTGAGCCAAGCATCCGTGTGTTTGTTATTGAAAGCAATCGATCATATCAAACTTTTCGTTTGGGGTATTTTCTTTAAATCTACATTGGATGAAGTGTTTATATAAAACTGCGATTATCTGGAGGCTTAGTTAGGGGTCAAATGATTTTACTGACATGAACGCACTATTTGAATGAAGTAAAAGTTCGAAGCTCTTTAATGTTCGGCATAACTGATCCCTTTGGTGATTCTTTAGCGGTACTTGTTAGCCAATGTCATATTGATGTGCTACATATAAATTTATACAGGTAGAATTTTGTAAAAAAGCTTCTGAGTTTGTCAGATGTTAACTACGTATTGGATCCTGTCAATTAGGCAAAATCGCTTTTAATATACCGATTCCTGGCTAGCTGAACTTTTGTAAACCTTGAATTGCGAAAAAATTAAGTTATTTTTTGCAATTTTTAAATGGCTTCATGCTTGGTCAATTAGCTTCAGCTGTCTTAGGATTAGTGTCTCGATAATTTTACAATCGCTATTTGCTTTATGAACTGGAGCAAATTGGTTTCAATTTTTTTACATGTGGGCAAGTGTTTTATTCTTTTCTAAAATATTGCTATAAATTTCTAGGTGTCTGCGATCAGAGTTTTGGAATACATGTCGCCGAGTTAACAAATTTTCCTCTTAAAGTGATCGAGGTTTGTTAATAAATTCAGCAAACTGTCAATTTATTGAATGTAATCCATTTTTCTTAGGACAGTCAAAAAAGCTTTCTTGGCCGTCACTCTTAATTCCTTTCTCGTGTGTTGATCTGACTGTGCGTTTTACGGACTGAGAATGACAACCAAGAAAGCCTATGTACCCGCAATTTTCTAAATCCCCCCCCTGAATAGTTCTTAAAACGCCTGTAATATGTTTTTGCAATTAGGTTAGTATGGAAAATTTTAAACTTATTGTCATTATATTTTATATTTCGAAATTTGATCTTCGTGCATTTTTTAGAGCTCAAAGTCGGTGATAATTTGCCTGACCGTGACGAAAGCCTAGATCTGACGTCATATCGGGAACACATTTTAAGAAAACACTGTATTTTAGACATAATTTCCTCAAAAGCATAGCTATATTGTTGCATTACTCACGTGTATGGCATCTTGTTTCGTGGATGTTCAAAAACATCCCATTATAAACAAAATGCAACAGATGATTTCCCGATGTGACGTCAAAAATAACATTAGTTACCAGCTTTTTTATACTGGCGGTCAAACAATGAAAACGACCAATTTTTCAACTTGAAGTGCAAAATATCCAGCAAAACCATATTTTCGAAGTATGAAATATATTACAAAAGTTGTTAAAGTAGCCGAACTATCTAAATGGCAAAAATGCAAAAACATAATATAGGCACCTTAATGTTACAAATGGGGTTTTTTTCCTCTCACTTGCCATGTGTTTTTTTAGTTTGCAAAAAGAAAAGCTATTGAATTGGAAGATTTTCAAGACCAGACTGGAAACTTTACCTGTGACGTGGATGGTAACGAGCTCTTTACAACCATCTAAAGTGTAATTGTCTATTATTAAAGCTTTTAAATTTTTAATAGAGGAGAAGTCTCTAGCAAAAAAGCGTCGTTCGGATAAAAAGGTTCGTTGAAGTTGTTTCTTTATCTTTTCTTTTGGTTCATTATGACTTATGTTGCACCATTTCCTGCACTCGACCATGAGCCAAACAAATAATTTTTTACATGCACGGAACCTGTTCTTGCTCTCTAATTTCTTATTCCTACCTACATCGACACACGCGATCTTATGTTATATTTTAGGTAGTATAAAGACTGTTTTTGTTCTTTGTTGTTCATTCATTACTACCTACACCGACACACGCGATCTTAGGTTATATTTTAGGTAGTATAAAGACTGTTCTTGTTCTTTGTTGTTCATTCATCACTACCTACACTGACACATGTTATCTTAGTTTATACTTTAGGTAGTGTAAAGACTGTTCTCGTTCTCTGTTGTTCATTCATCACTACCTACACTGACACAAGTTATCTTAGTTTATATTTTAGGTAGTGTAAAGACTGTTCTCGTTCTCTGTTGTTCATTCATCACTACCTACACTGACACAAGTTATCTTAGTTTATATTTTAGGTAGTATAAAGACTGTTTTTGTTCATTGTTGTTCATTCATCACTACCTACACCGACACACGCGATCTTAGGTTATATTTTAGGTAGTATAAAGACTGTTCTTGTTCTTTGTTGTTCATTAATCACTACCTTCACTGACATAGGTTATCTTAGTTTATAAATTTTAGGTAGTGTAGAGACTGTCTCGTTCTTTGTTGTTCACTAGTCGTGACTTTTATTTTCAAGGAAGGAGACAAAATGATTTACAAATATCTCCAAAGTGTAGCTGCTTTGCCGATTGACGATCTGACCGATTTACAAGTTTCAGAGCAATTTGCTTCATTTAAACAAGATCTTCTCGAGAAGAATAATAGTTACGTGACCGCTATGTTGTCCAGGAACATAGAATTATGAAAAAACTTTGAAATGAACTCACGCAAAACAAATATTTGCAGAATCTCATAATTATTCGATTTGAAAATTTGATTTGAATGTTAGTGCTTGTTTTGTTGTGAAAACTGCATTAAGATTTTGAACATGTTTAACATATTGAAATGTTTTTTTTCTTGCAGTAGGATTTATAATACAAATTAATGAGTTCATGTCGCTACAAGAGTTTTCAGTGCTATTAATAAACTTATTTGACTTTCCTTCCAATACGTCAATTGCAGTTGAATTTACATGGAAATAGATAATCAAAAGAAAGGATTATTGCCTCTTTCCATAAGGTTTGACAAAAGTTTTAACTTCTTGTTAAATTACTCGTAGTTGATTATTTCATGTATCGGTGCTTTTTGCGTCTACTCCCACATCGTGCTTTGTTTTGTGGAATTTTTCTTTCGTTGTAGTGTGTTACAATTAAGTATAATTTTGAGAAAGACGTGTAACACACAGGATGTCAATATTAGACAAAGACAAAGGTTACTGTAATATTTTTAGCCTTTGAAGACCTGCGTGGGTGTACTTTTGTGCAGTAACTAGACATTCGCACGGCTATCAATTTGATTGTTTTTATGTTAACTTTGTTAACTAGGAAAGTTTTGACGTTATTACAGACGTTCTTAGTTACTAATCGTAGTCTCTATTGTTTTGTTCACGCAATGTGGGTATATTTTCGGCGACATATTGGAAAAACTATGTAATTGTTAAAATTTCAAAGTTTCTTGTTTCCCGCGATTGGAAAGAAGGTCTTCCTCAGCAATCGAGTGCTTTGAACTTCCCGTGCCAAGTGCATGTGCGTAATTTAACGGTAAATAGTTCCCATTTTACCGTACTCTTACGTCTTTGTGTTGTTTGTGCCTTGTTATTTATCTACAACTTCTTCTTGTGCTATTTTACACTGATAACGTTTACATCCTCTATATTATTTTTGACATCACATAAACACATATTACGTACAAACATCACATTTCACAACTGCTCACATTAATATAAATAACTGCGGAACACATACAGGCCCTTGAAAATAGCTCCTCTTAACTTAACGCTTAGCTTGAATGACAGAATGACTCAGAGCGTTCAAAAGAGATAGATCGTTCTGTCTTTACTGTCCTACAAATCTTTTCATTTCTGTTGCAATATTTGTGAATCTTTTTTGGTATTTCAAACGATGGAAGCTGAAGAAGTGAGACAAATGTTTGTGTGTCTTCTACCATGGAGAAAGTCGTATAGTCTCGAGCCCGACGAAAATGCCAATGATGGAGATGAAGACATTAGTGTTTTTCAGGTTAGTGGTTTTATGTGTGAGATGAACGAAAATAGTTTTTCGAATTTTGGTATTGGAAATTTGCATTAGTGCCCAATCACAGTGTAGTAAAGTATAACAAGTTAACTCGTAAAATCGACGCATGAACGGATGAAAATTGTGCTTGTTTTAATCTACATTATTCTACATCTAGCTACCTAAATTGTGCACTCATGCCCACGAATGTGGAAATTTCTTTTGATGAAAATATGTTTTGAGAAAACAAAACGTTCTTTTGTTTATTTCTCATTGTATTTCACACTGACCCTAATCATTTCGTCTCTTGTACACAGAAATATTAGAATAATTGTTGAGCCACCGTATCAAGTATTGTTATTTTAAAAATAAAGAATTCTACCAGGATTGCTGGAATTACAAAGGATTGAATAACAACTAACCTACTATTACCAGTAAATTTTGTAATTCAAAAAAGGCCGACTAAACGTGCTAATTAGTATGATTTTTGAATTTTTGAAACATTTACATGGCTGGTTCTTGGAGGGTAGCTGCGATTCGCGTTTTTCTCCTTTTCCATTGATAGGAGAAAGGGAATTGAATGATAAATTGCCTACTTTGACGCTGACCAATCTGTTTAACAATGCAAACTTTTTTCATCCCAAAATTCTTTATTCTTTTTGTTAAAAAGAGGCAAACTGTGTCCATAGCTATGTGTGACATGTTTTATATAGGCAGCCAAATCTGGCAAACTTGACATCGTGAAGAAAAAGGTAGAAAAACAGCAACGTAATATGAAGCAATATGTGAACATGAAAGATGAAAGAAATACAACAGCCTTGCATTATGCTGTACAGTTCAATCATATAGATATTGTCAAGTATCTGATCGAGAAAGGAGCGAGTATGTTTTTTAACTTCCATATTTTCTGTGTTAGAGTCGTTCCCATTCCTGTTCACTTGTGCAATGTTTGTAGATGTTCGATTGTATTTGTGCTTAACTATTCAAGTTTTTCCTATCTTTGCATGTTGACGGTGTATTTACTAGAACATTGATGTAAATATTTAGTTTACTATTATTCTGTATTAGTTCACTATGACAAAAACATGCTCATCTTTACCTGAAACCATGTTTTACGCGCACACTAGTCTGGGAAGACGAACTATTTAATGACACATTTATTGATCGTCTTGTCGAACAAGAATTAGTTGCAAGCAAAAGTCCATCAATTGTTTTCATTAAAATTATGATACTCTATAAGTATCTTCAAAGATTTTGTTTTCATTTATGAAATCTCTTACACAAAGCTCGTGATTGTGACTTTTTCAAGCGTAATAAAAAGGTTGTTGTGTTTTCTAAATGAAAATGAACATATTTTTTAATGACATTGGTGTCTGTGAAATATAACGTTTATGGCTGTTGTATAAATGTGGCTTATGGTATTGTTAATAGTTTTGATAGGCAGGACATTCTTCTGATTTCCTAGAAATTGATATTCCTGGGAAAAAGTGTGCCACAGCCCTGCATTATGCTGTACTCTATAATGATTGCAATGTCTCACAAACGTTAAGGTAAACATGGGTTTGGTCGGTTTTTCATGCAGTCTTGCGATTTCATTGTGCTGTAAGTATTCTGAGAAAGAGTTGGATAAGTATATGCTCGAAACGTGTGACCAAACAATTTTTTTAGAATTTTTTCCCTTTAGGACTGGGAATGCAAATGGAAACGAGTCGACTGGTACAGAAGACAACTCTGAGTGTGTTTTGCAATGTCTGCTCAAGGAGAAATCGTCTTCAAATGTCAATTGTAAAGATGACTATGGTTCAACGCCACTACATTATGCAGCTGCCAATGGTGACTGCAAGTATGTTCAGGAGCTAATCAAAAATGGCAAAGCTGATGTCAATGTAAGTTTGTCTTGTGGATCAATGATCGAAATATTTTACTTTTTTATTCTCTTTTCTTTACATAACGGACTAGCTCACTGTAGGTTCATTTCAACATATCTGGCTTGTAAGTTGGAATTGACTAAGTAAAGGATTCGTGCATTAACGATGAATATATTACTTTTGATGTAATAAAAATGTATCTTTTTCTCGGTTGAGGATAATGGAGTGCAATAAATGGCAGTAGATATTTTTGTATTAGAAATAATTTGTATTTAAATAAATATTAGTTCTACTCGGAATTGTTTTTCACTCAATCTCAAAATTTCTTGGTCGGTGGTTTTTATTTTGAGAACGTATTACTATGCATTATTACGTCTACGCATCAAAATACATAATAAGAAATTTATTTGATCCTAGTGTTTTGTTTATGTTCTTTTGTTAGCTCCAGGCTCATATATGATTATCTGCAAAGGCGCTAAAACAGAAAAAATCGTCTTTAATTAACTTTTTGGTCACTTATTTCAAATTTGAACATGTTTGATTTGTACGTTGTTGTTTGTTTCTACCTCATAATTTTTGCTGTTTCACGAAAATGCTTAGTGTTCCCAGTCGACAGCTCTACCCATCCCATCCTTTAATATCACCAGTCAGCAGCTCTGTCCACCTTACCCTCTTACTCTCCTCTGTCAGCAGCTTTATCCACCTTACCCTCTTACTTTCTCTGTCAGCAGCATCCTACCCTCTTACTCTCCTCTGTCAAAAGCACTCTACCCTCTTACTTTCCTCTGTCAGCAGCTCTATCCACCTTACCGTCTTATTCTCCTCTGTCAGCAGCACCCTACCCTCTTACTCTCCTCTGTCAGCAGCTCTATCCACCCTACCCTCTTACTCTCCACTGTGAGCTGCTCTATCCACCCTACCATCTTACTCTCCCCTGTTGGCACCTCTAACCACCCTCCCCTCTCTGCATAACGGTCGACCCTCTTAGTTTAAACAATCCTGGATCAGCTAGTTTGGCGAGTCTTGCCTTAACAGTTTAATTGACCGGCGATCCTAAATTAATTTTTGTCAATTTTTATTTCCTTATTTTGAATTTGCTGGTAGGTTTTAACGTTAGGATCGTAATCTTCACTTTCTTTTCACTCTAGGCTCGAGACAAACAAGACGCCACCCCTCTACACGAAGCTTGCTTTCAAAACAACCACGAGTGCGTTGCTGCGCTCATCACTAATGGCGAAGTTGATGTCAATGTTGGTGTTTGTTGAAGCCATTAATACTTGTAAATTACTCGATTTTAACTATGTTTCATACTTATACACTAGGCGCAAAACAAACATTTGATGACCCCTTTACATAAGGCTTGCTTTCAAGGCAACCCTGGAGTCGTACGACAGCTTATTAAGAAGGCGAACATCTTGTTGAAGGATAACGAAGGCATGACAGCACTACACTACGCTGCTATGAACAAGGAAAAACATTGCGCTGAGATTATTCTCGAGGCTATTGAGGTTTGAATAATGGAATATTTTTGTTGATAGTTTTGGATATCGGGGTATACTTTTAAAGACAGCATATCCAGGAAATGGCGAAATCATTGAAGAATACCCTGCTTTCAATTACAACATTTTAACGGGATTAAGTCAAAAATTAAATCAGATAATCTTTTTGATCAGAACTACATTTAAAAAGAATTGCTGTAAACGTTTCTCCTTTGATACATTTTCAAGTTTTTCATGTCTGAAATATTTTCATCTATGGTCGACACTACAGTAAACTCTATAATAACTGGGAGGCTAACGTCGCCATCTTTGAAGCCAACACTGATGCCCGTATATGGTTGAGTCCGTTCACGTTTACTGTTAAAAGTATCTTTCATTGTCTTTCAGAAGTCGGATGGAAAACAGACAACTCTTAACGATGTGCTTGAGGCGAAAAATACCAACAAAGCGACTCCTCTGCATACAGCTGCTTTATTTAACCGTGTGGACGTTATTAATTTGCTTATTGTTAAGTAAGTGTGGTGTTGTATGTATTTTGGTCTTATCTTCTTCTCTTAAACACTTGAATCA